AATCTAGAAGAATACGGCATCGTAACACACCCCTATACAGAACAACCATAAACAATGTATTATTATTAAGTATATCTGTATTTACCTAAATGTTCACATGTAAAGTTAAAAATAAAAAATAAAAAACTGTAATTGCCTTTGTAGCCGATGTATTTTAAGAACATTAAGAAAAAGAGTGGGAATAAGGAAGATACCTTAATATATCAGGTTCAAGAATATAATTTATTACTTTATTATATTGTCATGTCACAATCGCCAACCAGTATCCATTTACCTTCAGACCTGTATATGGGTATATGTACCGGATTGTAACTTATAACATAGGTTTGACACAAGTGAGACCTACCGGTCGCATTTGAGAACAAATTTCTCAGTATTCGCAAACCAACAAACCAGGGTACAGCGAAAATGCGACAATACCCACTCAATTGTACCTATATTCTTTAAACTAACCGAAATATACGCAATGGTACAGCCTTGGCGTCAATTTAGTTCCCCTCTTCCCACCACAGGTTACGACATTTCCTCTTGAATCAATAATATATTATACTTTATTTTTTGGCCATATTTATGTTAATTATTTTTTCTTATATTTTAAATGCTCATAATATTATTATTCAGTTATCGATTGTTGACTTGTATACAACGTATGTAGCTGGACATATCATGTACTAAGTAATATTTAATTCGTTTTAATAATATTATTTAAAATATTAATATATTTATTTCTCAAATTTCTAATAATTTTTCATGTTTATCATTTGAGAATATTATATATTATAACCAATCTTACGTATTTACAGAAATTATATTTTATTATTTTTTTTTTTTTCGTAAATAAAAATTAGCTCCTTTTATTTCATATCTGTAGATTTACAACTGAATACGTTACCTACATCTTATAATAAACACAATTCTTCATAATGATTGAAATAATTATTATCATTATTTTCATAGTTAAAATTTTCCTTGATATGCGAAGTACAAACACTATAGGTACATTTTGACAATAGTAATACTAATACAGCACTGCCAATTATACATATTTCTTGTATAAAACTAATCTAGTTTATTATAAATTATAACACAATACTTTAATTGATTTGGTGATTGTTATTTTATTTATGATTTTGTAATAAATATCTAATAACTGTATACAATTTTATATTGTATTTTGTTGACGGGAAACTGTTTTTGTATTATTAAATAATATAATTCTTTGTGAAAAATTTAATTCTGTAAAATGGGACGGAGAAAAAATATATTCGGCGAAATGAAAAAGCTGCAAATGGAAATTGACTTATTATTTATAGCCAAGGTGTTTTTTATTAGCGTACCTAATATTTTATTTTTATTGTTACTTCTCATAATATTTTTAAATTCCAACGTTTGTAAGTAATAATAATATATTGAATTGGAATGATATAAAGGTCTTTTGGCAACAGCCGATCAGATACTAATATATTTATTTTTTTGAATCATACTACGGGCGTGAATGCTGTTTTAAGTTAATAAAGTAAACATAAAAATATTGATTGTTGCTTAGCTTATATGTAACTTATTAGTCATTACTCATTACAAACTTAAAATAATATGAAAAATAAGTAATTTGCTTGGACACAGTATATTCTCTCAACTATAAATTCAATATGTATATTTTTATTTTTAGTTTTATTTATTTATTATTAAATGTAACCTCCTAAAGAATTTTTGAAAAATAACATAATTATTTACAAATAGTATCATACAATAATAATAGTAAAATACATATTATAGTGTTATAAATTAACAATAGAGAAGAAATAAACTTTGTATAAAAATCAATTGCGTTATGACACTAGGCTAAAAAATCTAATAAGTCAAACTTTTTTATTTATGAACTTACTTTTTCGATAAAATTTTGGAAAAAATGTTAAAAAATTATTTGAAAACACATGTTGGTGAACACGTATGTACTACCGTTGGAATGAAAAAATAAGTTTTGAAATCAAATTGTATGGGATTATACACAATTTTTTATGATTTATATGTAGATACCTATTTATTACATATTTATGCGTTATTGCGTTCGATAGAAGAATACTCCTATTTGCTCGTATTTAAAATTATATAATATAGGCATGTTGAGGGTATAAATGTATATTATTATGTTCTGTTTCTTAACATAATAAACACACCCATTCACAACTCTTACTAAATCATATATACAAGCCCCACGTGTCATACAAAAAATTTAAGAAGTTATAACTATGAATACAAATTATTATTATCATAATGATTTCTAGTAGGTACCTATACTAAAATATTAAATATCCTTAAAATTATGTAAACAGAAATAGTTTTTGCACCGGCAATCAGCGTGTGCGTAGCTTTAAAAAACAAAGGTCGAAAATGCCATCTTTAGACTTTTCTTCAAATAAAGATAAATAAAATTTTTCTTTTAAGGCATAATAAATCATACTTTATTTTTTTAGCGATTTGCAATCTAAAACGAAAATATATTGATCAAATGATAAACGTAAAAACGTTGTAGCACTGAACGACTGAGCCGGAAATATTGAAGATAGTCTACAGTTCAAAGATTCAGAGTTCATAAAATTGTCATATTATTATACAATAGAACCTCGATTATCCATGACTCGATTATCCGTGTTTGCGATTAACCGTGCCCATTCTTTCGAACATTTTTAAACATAATACTCGATATCGACAATCGTATTAATGACATTTTTGACGATAACTTCATATTTTAAGCCCTAATAACTTGTTGTAGGTATACAATATTATGGATGTAGAACGTATGTATAACATTATTGTATGAATACGTCTTCTTATGTATATTTATAATTACAATTGAATCAAAATTTTTAAAATTTCATTATTATAAAATTGTACCTATGTATTTCTAATTATAATTGAATCAAAATTTTTAAAATTTCATTATTATAAAATTGTACCTAGGTATTTCCAATTATAATTAAATAAAAAATTTCATTATTATAAAAAGTCTCGATTAACCGTGATTTTCATTTATCCGTGTGACCCTCTCCCCATCATTACCCCGATAATCGAGGTTCTACTGTACTCGATTTTAAGACCGTAAAAATAAATACAGCTACTACAGTATTAATTTTTATTGAGATCGTGTCCTCTCCCATTCGTATTCATTGAAACTAAAATGTTTTGTTGAGTCACACGATAACAAACACGCGTAATATTAGGGACGCGTGTTATTTTTTATAGTAAGTAATTACCGGTTACTAGCGTCAATTTCGCAAAGGCTCATAACGAATGGTAATCACGATCTTTTAGCATGCTACCACTTTAGGCTTGACGGTAAGATTATTTTTATGTGTAAGAATCTTTTGTGAATGTTTAACCAATAAAAAAACATACTTTTTGTATATTTTTGCATATTGGAACATAACTTATAGGTACATCAAATGTTAGTATTAAGAGAGTATTCAATAACTGATAATTAAAAGAAATAATAATATTTAATATTTATGTATATTTCAAAATGAAGAGTTTAGTATTGGAAATTTTCTTAGTGGGTTATCGCGTGTCATGCGTAACAAGTAATCATTTTGATTAAGCCCCTGCGTATGCACGGATAATCGTAGCACAACAGAAAAATTAATTACCTATTATTTTTATTTCTTTTAAAATATTAATCTTTTGCCAATTATACTAATCTATTTATCCGATATCATTACTTAAAATTAATTTGATTTCGACGCGTATTTAAAAAATCTTTTTTTTATGTTTATATACTTTTTTTATTTTAATATTATTAGTATTTTAAAATTTAGAATATTTAAAAGTAAACTTAATAATTAATTCAAATTTATTTTCTAAGGCTTATTGTTCTTTTATGTTAGAAAATAAATATTCTTATAATAAAGTATTTATGTATTTTTCAAATAAAATATTGTATTTCCTAAATTGTATAAAGAGAGAGAACAAATAGTTCACTGACATAATATTGTGTTGTCTTTGAACTTCATTTTACTAACACACAGACATAATATTATACCAACATTATTTTAAGTTCAGATACTAATTCAATGTTGTTATATCATAAATTGTATTAAAATTAATTGAAATTGTATTTGTAAATTAATATTGGTTAACAAATCTATAGTTGGTTTTTACGATATTTTAATTTTTGAGCGAGTTATGAGCAATTATTTACATACAACTCGCTTGAAAATTAAAATTTCGCAAACAATTAATTAAAAACACGGATAATGTTCTTGATTTTAACACTTTAAGTCAGTCATTATAAATCGATTCTATTTAATACTTAAGTGAACAACACAACATTGGAATTGCTGAATGAAAATTTGTCATGACCCATGTTGCCTATATATTATGTAAGCCGGAGATGGCATGTGTGAGTGTAACGTCCTCTTAACACATTGAAGGTCTTAATACCGGTAGGCGCCCCCTCCTCTTACCAGATCGCTTTAATATTGTTAATTATTATCGTTTTGGAGTGTACCGAAATGAAGAGAAGAATCGAGTTTTTTGACCCATAAGAAAGGTCACAAATATTTATCGGTCGACAGCAATTCCAAACAACATACTATTGAATACTGATAAAGTGATCAGTAAAATATACGTAGAAATGCAGCTGTAGAATTTATTAATATTAATATTAAACAAGTAGTTCACGACGACCGGTTATTATAATTTTACTGTAACAAACATGACTCTATAGGCATAATACTTTCTTTTTTTCGGGAAAAAAATAATCTCATTCTCTGTTCTTATATTATGTATATATATATATAAAGATATATTATCATTGCATGTATTATGTGAATTGAAAACGTTACCTGTAGTGGCGGCGGTGACGGCAACGGTGTTTTGTCGGAGCGCTTGTGGCCAGCCTGAAAAACCAATGCTCCTCCCTCGTAATCGCTCTTCCACCGCTACTTCACCGCTACTTCACCGCTACTGTATTCCCACCATCACCATAACCGACAACGACACCTACATTAACGCCGGTCTAGTTGGCCGCCGATCGAACGGCACACGGCATCAGTGCATCACTAGTCGTCGGAATCGGTAATTTTCTCATCTGCTCATTAGTGTCATCGTACTGTTCACTGCTTAACGTTCAATTTCGTGTGTTGTGTGTTTCAGCCTTTTCGACTTGTCACATTCTCGACCTCTGAAGTTTTTCTCAAGTACAGCGATCACTTATTTGTATAGATTTTTTCTCAAATCTATATCACGTTAAAACATCGTTGATCATGCCTAGCGCTTCAAACGATCGCCTCCATATACCCGGGGACAACTTGGAAAACGAGAATCCAGACAACGATGAACAAATACAAATGTTACAACAATTAGAAACAAGCGACAGTGACACTTGGTCGGAGAACGACATACCGCCGGGAGCCGACGGATTAAGCGAAGACGAAGACGACGATTTACCCGTCAACCAACCCGTTTCCGACAATAATAGTGAATCGCAGGACGCATTCAGCGATTCGCCATCATTCATGGAAATAGATGAGCCATCCGACACGGAAATCCTCGAATCCATAGAAGCGGCTAGGGGAACTACTTCGAACGCGAGCGCTGGTCGTAATCGTGGTAGGAATGTTGCCAGAAGAGGACGCCAAAGACGACACCCAACGTACGTTATAACAAAGATTACGAAATAATATGATAAGAAACGAATGCACATATATTCCCGATTTCCGATCTCGGAAATTGTTTTGTTGCGAGTACTCGTTTTTCCTTCTCATCGTTGCCATTATTACACATTCATAATTATCAATTTTTTTTTCCCACAGCCTTCATTACATACGTACGCCGTTCGAACGCGGTGTGACGTTTAATGGATTTGCCAGGAACCTCATACCGGAAAGAATCACGGGATATATGATCGAACGTCAAAGCGAAACGATATTATATTACATTAAATGGCGCAACGACGATAATAGGATCAGACTCATCGAGTCGAGCCTTGTGCGGAGATACTGTCCCCTTTTGATCGTCAACTATTACGAGGCATTGATGGTAAATAATTATACATAAATAACAATAATTACACATACCAATGTACAATCTTATTTAAATTTAACTTCTTTGCGAATGGTAAATCCTTTATAAAAAATGTATCATCACGATAGATTTCCATGTCGCTTATTATATCAACTGTTAAATTAATAATGGTAATATTACATTATTAGTTATCCACGCTAAAAGTTTCATAAGCACACTTTTAATTCCATGCATTATACTAACTGTGTTATTATTAATAATTTATTGTAAAATGTTTTTTTTCAGATTCACGATCATTCTTAAGTGTGCCAAGTCTGTTTTAATTAATTACGATTCTACTATGCCTATGTGTTTTTTTTTACATTCATAATAATTAAATATTGTATTTTTTTTTTTCACTATAATTTTTATAATGTAACTTATGTTACATTCATACTTTATTTTATAAACATTTTTTTTTTCTTAATAATATTTTATAATTTATCATTACACAATATAATGGCATTATAAGTTATGAATTTATGATTACAAATAAATATATGTATTTCCTCTTTTACGAAGTTTTGTCGACTCTTTATTTTCTTGTAATGTTTGGTGAATAGGTTCAAACGTATGTCAATAGTAACGGTCGGCAAAAAGCGAATATTTTTGAGTCAACATCAAAATCTTTGATAATATACTACATTTAAAGGTTATGTTTTGGAAGCATGAGTTATTTTTGTTTACAGTGGCGTTTTTGTTGAGTACGTTAGGTGATTTATATATTCCTAATTGTAGGAATGAATACATGAACAAATGAATTGTATTGTTAATACAATACAAACGCATATTTTTGTGACGAATATAGTCAGATCATAATATCATATGAAGATTGGTAAAAACACGTAGGTAAATAATAAGTAAAATATTTGACATAGCCGTCTATGTAGCCAGTGAGGTATACGTAGAACTGGTTATCAATACACTACATTTTAAAAACATTTTTTCGTGGACATCTCTCAAATAAAAAGAAAGAAAAAAAAACCTGGGTACGCCATTCGAGCAGTACCACATTAACTAAACTACTAATCTATTGCCCGATATCTACTTAGGGAAGGAAGATGGTTAAAAAAAATGGATTTTCAGACCTCGTAAAATAACTGAATTTTAATTAAGTATATTTTTTTTTTTTTTAAGAAAAAAATGATCTATAGTTCACAATGAACTCCAATTTTATTTGATTAAAAATAATTTGTAAAAAAAGCTTAAAATTGTTTTTGACATATCTTACAGTTTGAGATTATTGAAATAACAAAGTTCAATGTAGACTATAAAACATTTTTCTCTATCAATTAAAAAATATAAAATGTTGATCGATTCTACATGATACGAAAATTATTCCCGTGAAGTAAGTAGCGTATTTTCGAAAAACGTGACATTAGCACCGGGCGCCTTGAACGTTAACACGCACGATTTTCGTTTACGCATTTTACAAGAATGACGTGATAACGATTATAGCGACCATATTGTCTACGCTATGATTTTTATATATTATTACTTTGGAGATCTGTCGTTTGGTGCGAACTGCGAAGGATCGTCTAATGATTTTTACGTCGCCGAGTCGTAGTTCCGATATTTTAATATTGTCAATATTGATAACTACCATTGTATATATTATTACTATTACTCACGTCCGTCTGAAATAACCAAGTGAAAACAGTCAAATACATACCACTGTCATCTGTCGGCGTTTTTTGGCTCTTGCCGAGTAGAGTAGATTGCAAAGTTATAACAAACGGAAAACCGTAGTGGTTTTTGACATTTCGCGCTAATCAACAATGATGATAAGTGATAACAATTTCGCGTGTCTTGCACAACAGCAACTGTGCTGTGAAAATACCATTTTGTTCATTCATTGATAATAACCATATAGATACAGCATATTTACTATCTCCGCTAAACGTGTTTAGGACATGGGCATTATAGAGAGGCCGTTCCCTACATCGTTCTGAACAACGGGCTGCGAAAGTGGTTACTAATTTCAGTGTCGTCGCTTACGAGGAAAAAAATATTGTTAGGTATTCGTTACGTTTTGTTCTACGTTATCTCCAATAAAATATGTTATCAATTATGATAAAAATTATGAAAACAATAATGTAAAATGTAGATAACAAATGTCAAAAATATGACGTATATAAGTATATTACATTGAAAAATGTATTTTATTACTGAGTACTGACTATATAGCCATTTACCGAACTGTAAATTTCAATTTAGCATTTATTTTAACATATATAATATGATAGACCTATTTTATATGGTATAACTGTACAAGTGTATTGAAACCAGTACGCGATACATCTAATTAAACTTTGACAAATAGAGGATAACATATAATAGTATTATAGACAATTGCTACTTTAAGCGGCAACAAAATAGAGAGGGGAATAACGATAGTCCCTCAAATAGTAGCTTTTGAACGATAAAATAAAAACAGAAGAAATAAAATATGAACAAGCCGTTGCGGTTAACGATGTTATCAATATTATGCTGACTTTAAGATTTAAGTTCGTTGATGTTTTCTTTTCGCAATCGACGCGTTTATTGATATCATAAATTCATAAATGTGGTAAAACACGGAAACAGTATTCGGTAATAAACAAAAACAAATAACAATTTTAACGGAATATTTCGACGATTTTTTTTGAGTCTTGATTCTTCAGTATAATCTGCGATAAATTAACATAATATTACGTGCACTGTTCCGCCGCGTTACAACTTACAAGTAAGTAGTACACGTATAATCGACTAAAGTGACATATTAATAAAATTAATTAACGATTTGGCCGTTTTAAATTCACGCTAGATACACTGTAGATCCCTATCGAATATATTTTATAAGTTACATTATTATGTCACACAAATAGTCACCAAAACGCAAACGACATATTTTATATTTTTCGTATAACACTGTTTCTTGTATCGCAACCAAATATAATTGTCGCACAATGTAAGAATATATTTTTTTTTAAACTACGGTTTTTATGTACAATTTTAGATAGGTATTTAAAATATAAATTTATTAAAGAATTAAAGGCTATCTTCCCAATATGCGGTCTATCAAAATGGATGTGATCTACAGTAATAATATAAAAAGTATAAATAAAAACATTTTAATTTATTAAAAAATGAATTTATAAATGTTATACTATGTCACCATGATTACAAGAATACCAATTAGATGGTTTGACAATCTCTTTTTTTTACACTTCTCCAACTTTTCCGCGGTAATTTCTTTGATATAATTTTACTTCATTATCACATCTGTAACATTGTTTTGCACAAGGTAGTAAGCCATAATCTTGTAGGTATTTAACTGTAGATTCTTCAGTTAAAACATTTTTATAAAATTCTTTAACAAGCATTTTAAAAACTATTTTTTTAGCTCAAAATTTAAAAAAGTTGTTTCACTAAAAACGACAGTAATTACGGACCAGGTGTTATATTATATTAAAATTTATATCGTTATGAAAAATTAAGATAAAACATATAAATTGGTAGATAATAAATATAAATGATGCGGATTCCCAGCCATAGGTAGAACACATATAACATTGTTAGATCGCATATTGGGAGATAGCCGAATTAATGATTTTAGAAAAATTTACTGGGAAAATTATTAACAATAAATGTAGTGGCTGTAGCCCATTTGCGTCCAAAATAAAAAAACTTGACACCCTGATTTATAGCCCAAATGCGTCCATTCCGCATACAACATTGCCGTCAGTTATCGTTTAAAATTTTTTTAGACAAATTAGTAAAAAATTATCATCAAATTAAGTACTGCACGTGGAAAGTTCTGTACATATTATTTTATTCGGTCATAAAGTTAAATCTTTGCACGCTTTTCTTTTATACCTACCTTAAACATCCAATAAGTTTAAACTTTCTTCAGTTTCCGGATCATGGGTAGGTCTTTAATTTCGGTTAACTTCGTTTTTAAATTATTGGTTTTGACATACCTATGCATTACACAAACAAGGTTTCTACTCATGTGATATTTAAAATAACGAAAAACTAAACAAAATTTTTGTTAACTTGAAATAATTTTATAAAATTTAATTATATTATAGTAGTACTGTTAATGTGCTGATGTAATTGTCACATAAAATACAACTGATAAATGAATTTTTATGTAATATAATCTTTATCGATTGTGATTTTACAACTTTGATTAGCACGACTAACGACAAAATATTATTATCTTTATCGATTTGGATATTGGTTTCGATTAGCATTTAACATGGGAAACGATCAAATATTATTTTAGATTTTATAGTTATACCGATGAACTCAATAAATAGCAACGTTGCACGATTTTCACTTGGTCTGAATCGGGCGTATATGAGCTATGATTTAGGGTGCGCCGAAATTAAATAGTGTTGTTATCATATTGATAAACTTATGTTAAAAAATAATAATTTTACGAACATTTTTAATTAAATACAATCAACATCTATTGAATGATAAAAAAATAATAATAATTATTATTATAATGGATTGTTATTGTTATATTGTCGATACAATTGAAGATACAAGATACAATTCTATTTAAAACTATTCTTTTGAATTTTGATGACTATTGTCTATAAATTTGCATTTGTCAAATCTTTTGACTACAATACAAAATATTTTTAATTTTTTGAAAAAAAAATTATTTGTCAAATTAGAAAAAAAAAGAGAAAAATACAATTTATTTTTAATATTACACATAAAATATAGAAATTAATCCTCAAATACATTTATTAAAAATTAAAATTGAACATCGTTAAATCCGAAAATTGTTAATCTTCCGCTAATTAGTCCAAAAACAATTGAAGTAGATAGATAATTATATTACAACAAATATGTAATTCTGTAATGGCATACAAGTTTATTGCTACTCAATATTACAATAATGTAGTCTATATCCTATACAAATGTGAAATATGACCTCATTTCTAGTTGGTTGATTTGAAATAGAACTGTCAATGTAATTATCAATTTTTCAAAATTATATTATTATGTTTATTTTATATTATTATAAAATTTAATTTACTATCATATAACATTATGATTTAATAGCAATAAAAAAAGATGTTAATCAGCTATAATTATTTAAAGTTTAAATAAGCAGAAAAGCGAACTGACATTTTCCGTCGTATCCGCTTTATCTTAATATGAAATAAGTGTTTACTCATAACTATAATATAATAAGTAATAACTAATTGTAACAATTTAATATTTGTTTTAAAATACTTCAAATAATCTATTACGTATTGAAAACGATTGTATTAATTTTAAAGGATAAAAACTTAAACTAAACTAAACAATTATAATCATAAGAAATGTATTTAAAAAATGAGCATAAAGATAAATCGATTATTTAAAATGTACAATAATTTGTGATGTTATACGTTTGTGAAACGGAGATAACGTATGTAGTATAGCGTCTTGATAGTTTTTAAAATAATAAGTTTTTTTAATTTAGAAGAATCTTTCTAAACACAATTTAATGTACCTACATGAATTTTAATATAGTTTATTTTTATTGAGTAATGATATAGTGTATGCGTTTAAATGAACTCGTTAAATACTTTTGTAATAAAATGGTAGATATCTAGTATATATATATTATAACAGTGATTTAATACGAATTTTCGTATTGAAAAATTATAAATTACTATTACATAATATACTAAAACTCAATTATTTATACATTGAAATGTTTTTTTTTTTTTTGATATGTATAAATGGTATTATTAATCTCGGAATATTAATTATACACGATAACACAATATTACTGATAAATACGTAGGTAATAATGCACAAATTTAAATAAACGTTTTTTTTTCTCTTGTCGTTACTCGTTACACAGAATAAGCTAATCCGATGTTATTGTGTTGGTAATTATAAATGTATGCAATATTATACATTATACATATATATCACTGATATCGAATGCATTGTAATGGATATTCTACGGTACTGTTATCTTTATCAGAGACTTTTCTGCTTTTCGGCCAACGAAGAGAGAAACTACTGTAGTTCTCACTCGACTCACTCGTACAAATCTTCTGAGGGATAAAGAAACGAATACGATAATATTTTAAGTTTAAACGAGAGACGAAATGACAATGCAGCGATTAACATCGGTGTTAGTCAACTGCAGACTTTTAAACGGTTTACGAGTTTAATACGGACGTTATAAAATAATAGGTATTATGAGTGTGTTGTCGAACTGAAAAAAAAACAAATAAAATTAATTAATTGAGCAATCGCCTGTCGTGTGGTAAAGTACCAACTATAACAATCTGATGATAAAAAATTCGATAAATTCGTAACACTAACACGGTTAAGTGAATGTACCATCGTTATAGTGAATAGGTACATCTCAACCGGTCCCACGTGCTTTCGTATTAAAATTTAAATAAAACATAAGAATCATTAGAATCTCGGGAGCTTTGCATTCCTACCAGTTATGAAAGTCCATCTTTTTTTTTTTTTTATCAAGAAAGAGACTACTTTGTCATTCATAAAGTCTCATCAGCCATATTGATGATAATGATAATAATAATAATAATAATAATATTGTAACAGGTACCAATACAAATCGGTTATCGTCGTCTATCGCGGACTTCGCACTCTTCGCAGTCTTCGCACATTAGCCGCGCGCGTTTTGTACTTGCTAGGTTAACCAGCGGATTTCCGGTCGTGTCGCGTTATCTTCGCGACTCCCCAGAGCCTCATCGACAACTCCATGTGCGCGTAGTGCGAATTGCGATCGTTCCAACTGTTCCGGGTTTACCTACTTACGCCGCGTCTGTTCCGTGGCGACACTGAGTCACGGTCAGTAACTAATAAAACTAAACGTATCGTCTGGTATTATGATTATCTTGTCGTTTCGTGCGCTTCTTAAGTCTCCTCAGTCCTCAAACTAAACATTGCAGTTGCAGCTTGGGTAACGGGGCATGTGTGCGCCATTGATATAAAGTTGCGTCGCCGTACGATACAGTTCAACAAGTACACAACGTCACAACTGCATCGCGGTCGCAGTGTTAATCATTTACTACAGCGGAACTCGTGCGTCCTGTCGGCGCTCGCTCACATCGGATTCCGACAGTGTGTATCCACTATCCGTCTGTTGTCTTGACCGCCGTTGTAATGTCGAGCTCATTGAAACGTAAATATCTTGACGGGGACGAAGAAGCGAAACGTAAACGCAGTAGCTGGATGGTCTTTCCGGGGTAAGCATGATATTTATACCTAACTGACATTAATGCAATAATTAATATTAATCTTAGGTGTAGATTATGTTTGTAAATATGTTATATAGAAAACACCATTGCTGCTATAACCGGCGATATTGCATCAGCTCTCTATTCACTCATTTTTTAAGTCTTAATTAATATCTTTATTATTAATTAAATTTTTTCTGTGTTTTTGAATGGTGAAAACCATAGTGATAGTATTTCTCGCTTATTGCGAGTAAAAACGCGCGAATTTAGTAGATAGCATTGTCGTATGTTGCCATATGTTTAGTATCAATGGTTATGATAATATATACATAATATATATGTATATATGATAAGTGATGACTCGTTCTCGATCGCATTGAGCTACTATATTATATTACTACAGTGAAACCTCTGAATAGCGGACACTCTCGGTCGCCAAAATTTTGTCCTCTATTTAGAGGTGTCCACTATTTAGAGGAAAACATTTTTTTCAATTAATAAATAAATTCAATAATTTTTTTTATTTTATTTTTACATTAATTAAATATATCTTAAAAAAAATGCCCAAGAATGCCCATATTTGTATTTGATGTTCAAAATTCCAGAATGTCTATTTTTTCTTTTAGAGTTAATCGTTTTCTTTTGCTGATAATAGCGCACTACAATAAACGTTCGTTTATTGGCATCACAAACACAACTAAACACACATAGGACAATGTATTAGTTTTAATATTTTGTTGGTGTGATAATATTTCAATGACTGAACGGATAAGATAAGATTTTCATATACAGTTTAATAATGTACACATAAGATAACTTAATAATTGAGGTTTTTATTCAGATACTTCAAAATAATTCTTAATTTAAGATAAAAATTATTAATATTAATGTCATAAAAGTGTCCATTATTTAGAGTGTCCTATATTTGGAGGTTTTCCTATACATAAATAGTGAAAACGTCCCGGTCCCCGAAAAAACGTCCGCTATTTAGAGGTGTCCGTTAAGGGAGGTTTCACTGTATATTAAGTTTAATTTGTTATTTTAAAATTATTTGTTATTACAATAATTTAAAAAAAAAGTTTTTAGTGATTAACAATATTTTTAATACTTTTTAGTTTTTTACATTAAGGAGGTACACATTTAAAAATATACGATAATATTCTTTATTGTAAAAAAACGTACTTATTAAATTCAAATAAATCATAAATTATCATTAAAAAAATAATTATTTTAATTTTATTGCTGGAAAGTCTTAACTTAATGATATAATCCCGAATTATAAATTAAAAGATGATATTTCTTTGATGAATATGCAAATTATAGTTCCCAAATATTGTTATCTTATTAAAGATCTAACTTTAATGTTATAAATTTTAAGTTTTGGAAAATTTAGTTTACACAAGTATAAGAAAATCCATGTTTGAATGCTATATATAAAGTGTTTAATAAACTAGATTTCAATTAATACGATATTTAATATTTATAAATTGATTAAATTAGAACCTAGGTCACGATTCATTAATGATTTAAACATACATTTTTTCATTTAGTTATAGACTTCTCTCCATTATAGAAAACTATTAAGAGTTATTAATGGATAGTCAGATGGGCCAGAGTACTGGATTGACATTGCTTAATAGTTAATATAGTATAGCATGAAAAGTATTACAATGCTTGTTGTGTTTGTTTTTAAAGAATTTTTGAGAAGACCAATTTCATAATTTTATCTCCTTCTTATGAATAAACTCTAATATAGTGATAATGAAATTAAATATTTATTTTATTATTTATAACAAACAGGTTAAAAGGAAATCTTTTAATAGAGTAAATTGTAATTACAAGATAATTTTAACATAGTTAGATATAGTAATGTGTAATACTAATAATAAAAAAAATATATAAATGTATATTGATATTAATAATAATATAATTTATAGTTTACAAACAGTGATATGCTAAGCAATTTTTAAACTTGTGATAAAATAAAAATTTTTACCTCAAATTAAATTTTAACTATGGATTTTTTATCCTATAAATAATAATTTTTTTATAACAAAAACAAATTTGTTATATTTTATTATATATTTTTAATATTTATTACATACTATACAGGTAATTATCTCAAAAAGACATTTGGTATGTCATTATTGCTGACAAATACCACTGTTTACAGATTTAGTGTGTTAGTCCTAGATCTTATCAATAACTTATTTTTTATAAAATATTTTTAATATTATGTGATTATGGGCAATTATTTTTAATAATAATATACATTTGTATTTCCATTCTTCTTTAATTCTGTTTTTGCTTGTTTGATGAGAAAAATAGTATTTTTTCTAGTTTTTTTTTAAAATTTTTTATCAATTTTATTTTAAGCCCAGCAACTAAGGCTATTAGCTGTGAATAGAAACAGTTGGTTTTTTGTGTAAGGTTTGTTTATAAGATTGAAACACGTATGTGTATGTGTGCACGCCATGGATTCTTCACTAAGAACCTGGGTGGTCACCCATCCAAGAGCTAATGACACCGGCTGATGTTTAACCTTAGAACACATTAGCAACTGAGGCCAACTACCGCACCACTCCAGGCTACAAAAAATATTTTAAGAGAAGTTATATTCATGTGCATTGTCTCCATCTTAAAAATACATAGCATACCGAATTGTTTGTTCTGAACTATCCGTTTAACCCCTTCATGTTTAATGTTTCAGAGAATTTATCTATTATAAAATTTAAAAGTAAGAATACTATCTAGTGAACCTCTGGATTTTATTTTTATTTTAGTTTTAATGAGTTATGATTATTATAAAATTGTTTGTATTTTTTAAAATGTTCCTAACTCGCTTTAAAATTTAAATTAAATAAAAACAAGTTTTACTAGATTATATTTTTACTTTTAAATTTGGTTAGGTAAATTAACTGTAATATTCACCATAAAAGAGTTAAATGAATTCTTCAAAAACAAGCAATTTGTTAAGTTATGTTTGTTAGAACGGAAAAAACACATGTGAAGCAACCTCTTAAACTCTTATATGATGAAAGAAATATTTTTTTTTAGTTATTGACAGAAATGTTGTAAATTGTAATAATATATTAGGTACATTAAAAAAAAAAAATATTCAGTGCTTTAAATATCTTAAATACAATTCTTCTTATTATTATTTTGCTTGTTTACTTATATATACTTACATAAAACTTTGTTTCACGTGCAATTAATAATTAATTAAAAAAAAAAAAATAATGGATTGTTCACAGGATCGATGCATTAAGACCATACAATATTGTGTTTGATTATGACAAATTTGAATATGAACTGGCTGTTGGACTTGATTTTGCACTTGCTAAAGCACTGGTACCAAAAGAAATCATAGGAGCTTGTAACTTTAATGGTGAAATAGTGTACTTTATTAAGTGGAAGCATCAAGATGAAATAAGTTACATATCATCTGAACATGCTTCAAATTTGTATCCTGAAGTTACAATTAAATTCCATGAGAAATATAATAATATATCTCAAGCAGTTACTACAGGTAGGTCGCTTCAACAACATGATGGTAGAACTGCTCATCGTCGTGTTGGGCGTCCTAAAAATACATCACAGGGTTTAAAAAGATCTTATGTATCAAAGTACCTATCTAGAAAAAAATAAATATCATGAATACATTTTTTTTTAATTTGAGAATAATAATAAGTGGTTATAATATAAGTTATGTATAAATATTATTATTTTTTTTATTCATATAAATTGTTTAATAATGTTTACTCTTTCCTTGTTAAAGTAATTAAAAACAAATTAATATTTTTGCACTTTTAAATTATATTGATGTTATCTTTTGATCAAATTTTCCATTGTGTGACATAAATGAATTTTCTAGTATTAAGAAGTTGTGATATTTGTATAATTAAACTGTACTGTGCCTATGTGCATATGAATAAAACAAGGTTTAGTAGATATTATATTTGATTGTATTGTTCTAATAATTATACTATTATTTAAATTAATAAGGCTAAAGAATCTTCATAACAAAACTATTATAGATTTTGTATGACCAACAATGTGATTCAAGTAACAAATAAAATGTTTAGAATTAGAATTTTTTTGTTTTGTTTTACAGACAATTATATGTTCAGAATAAGTTGGCTATTAAAATATGTATTTAAATTTGTAATATATATTTTGTAAGCAAAAAAGTAAATAATATGTTGTCAAGACTGGACAAATTTTTTAATAAATTGAGCGAAGCGTTGGAGCTTTTAGGAGGTGCTGCAATATTAAAAACCAAGGTAGCCTAAGGTAGCGGTGTCTATGCTATCTATGTATAAAATAATGTCTACGCGTGATTTTAAGATTTAACTTAATTTGTTTTAAATCGCCGCTATACTTCATAGATAAATGAAGATTATTAATAAATGTTTTCAATTAAAATTGAAAAGTATTTATTTATATTGTCAAAATTTTTTGTTATATTTATGGAAAGCCACCATTCTTCTTTCAGCTGCCTTTTCAGCAATTTAGTGACACCGTGCAATTTTATATCATGTTTCACTTTTACACGTCACCAAACATATTTACATGTTCCATCATTTGAGTTTCAGCACCTGTTTCTGGATCAATAAAATTATTTTTATGATTTACAGTATGGTGTGTATGTAACTAAGATTATTTAAACTGCTGTAAGCTTAAAAGCTTTCCACTCATCTGGAAAAATGGTCGTCCCTGGCTCAATTTCTCTTTGAACAATTGGAAGCAAAGTGATGCAGTCTCTTTTGTACATAAAACAATCAACCTTATAGAATGTAGATAAATAATATTACAATTGTATAGATAACATACGACGATAAATAGTATTTGTAGATATTAAATGACACGAGCATTTATTGTGTAGATTGCATATGACATCACTACCAAAATCAATTTAAATATTGTATGATATGTAATGGTAAATATTATTATTATTATTAATATTAATTGTTACAAGATAAATGTTACAAATTACTATAAAAAATTGTATCCCAAGACAAAATTTAAATTACATAAAAGTTATGCATTAGGTATAACAAATTCATAAAAAAAGTTGTAATTTTATAACTCAAATTACATGATTATTTAAGAATACAAATTATCTGTAAAAATATGAGTGCTTTTAAATTAACTATGTAAAACACATAAAAGGTAGTAGGTAATATTTTATACATTAAAATTGTTAAATGATATAAAATATCAAATTTGATAGTAAGAATTTACTTTTAGAAATACAGATTTTTTTTTTTAATGATCAAGTAAACATGATCTTATAGAGAAACAAAATAGTATTTTGACTGATACAGAAGAATATAAAACCTACTATTGTAGTTGTATAAAAATATTAATAACTTATTTTATCCTAATGTTTATGACTTGAATTGCATACATTTGCCTCAATAGTGTATTATACAGGACAAATGCAATAGAATTTGATGTACATGAACATTTTAAAGTTCAAATTAATAAATAATACAATACTTAGGTATATTGTACTTGGATTTTAATTACAAGTTACTAAAAAATAGTAACTAAAATATGAAATTCAAGTTACTTAATACTTTAAACGATATAACTCAGTTATATATCATTAATACATATATTTCAGATACTGTCTACCCCTTTGATGCATACCATAGGTAATATATAACAATATTCACTATATCGTAAATACAGTGTCTAAAGTGATAATTAGGGCTGTGAATTTAATGCACTAAAATCCTTAAAAAATGCCAAAAAAATGCAATAAAATATGCACTTAAAATGCAAAAATAGGAATATAAAATGCCAAAAATTATAGTATAAAATTAATTTAAAATGGTTTTTAATTTAATTTTTATATTTATATTAATATTAGGTACAGGATATTAAATATTAGTACAAAAAAGTGTTTATTTAATAAAAAAGTTAAAAAATTTAACATAATATATACAGCCTGTGTAAAATAAAAAAAAGTTTTCAAACAAGTTAATTGACAGAATTTGGTTAAAAATACTAGAAAATGAACTAAAAAATGCAAATATATGCAAAATAAAAGTTTCATAGATAGATTCATAATTACATAATTCAAAGTATATACTTACAAAGCTATGTTTTACAATCACCAAAAAAAAATGGACTTTCCTATAAATTTACAGTCCTGGTGATAATACTTACAGCTAATCGGTCTTGAACGGCTTAAACAGACTGCTACTATTTAACACTTATATTTCCATGTTGGAAAAAATATGTCTACTCTACTGGAAGTCTCATTACACTGGTCAATATGTATTTTAAGAATATATTTCCACATAGTTTGATCTATTTTCTAGATTTTATCACCTGTATTTGTCGTATGTTGATGAGTGATGACTAGATAATACTATTTCCTCGACTCAACACATTGAAAAATATTAGTTTTTGAAAATATCTTTTAACATAACTTGAAATCGTCATGAAACAACATTTTGTACTTTCAAGTTTATTTTTCTTAATGACTAGAGGGCGGATTTGTATGCGTTTGCATATTTATTCTGGTTGATCATATGATATGCGAAGTGAGCACAATATTTGTTTCATGTGATAGGTTTTATTAGTACATATTTTTTTATTTTAAAGACTTATTTTACAATTTTAATTTCATATTTCATCTTTCAGTGCATATTTTGATGTTTTTTTTGTTGTTTTTTGAGACATTTTTGAAATATATACTATTGTTTATTATAATTTATAATATAAGCAAACATATTATATTTTTATAGTTTCGATTAATATGAAAATAAATTAATAGGTATATCTAAACTTGTAGGTATAAATGGTTTTTCTAAATAATATGGTCTTAGATTAATAATCGGGGAAATAAAATACCTATATCAAGATAAGAAAATATCGATTACAATCATGATTGACTATTGAGTACTATTGACATTATTTCAGTATTTCAGTCGCGTTAAAGTATTTACAGTGTGTTCGTAATTCGTAAGTGCTTAAAGTCGTAATTTGCGTTTTTATTATTTTTTCAAAATGCCGAAATATAAATCGTCGTTATTGAGTCGTTTTTGTAAATACGCGCGTGAATTCGAGGAGAATATTTTTTCAACCGATGGTAAAATCATACTGTGCAAATTATGTGAAGTAAGAGTTTTTCACGATAAACGGTATTCAATTACATAACATATTAAAACAGAAAAATATTAAAAATCTGTGAATTTATGTCAGAAAAAACAACAAAATTTTCAAAGTTTATTCACCAATACTACAACACTAAATAAAGATTTTTTTCCTTGTTGTTTTATGCAAAGCACTGGTTTCGGAAAATATTCGGCAGAAAAAACTCATTAATATTATACATTTTAAATCATTTTTGGAAAAATATACTATTCATTAATAATGAGTAATTGACTTACAATATGCATTTGAAATACATAAATAAGTAAATGCATGATAATTAACATTTATTACCTATTAGTCCACAGCCAAATTACATTTTTTTTTTATTATAATTAATTTGTATTGAAGTAAGCGGATTTAAACGGAGAATACTGTTTATTAAAATTATAATATTTTAATTATATTCGCCTAGATACAAACAACTTATATGAAGTACAGTGATTTTATTTAGAACACACACAGTATAGGTAGAAAGCAGTTGTCTTGGGTGGTGGTTTTATATTAAAATGACATGCTAAATCGCTAGATTATAATTACCTACCTATATATTTCCTTGATCTTTAAGTGAATCTTATTTTATTATTTAATGCAACTATTTATCATTTTAATGTTATTTTTAACACAGATAAGAAAATCGAATTATTAGTTGATAATTTAGTTTATATATGTTACAAGTAACATAATATATTACATTGCTTGGTAATGTGAACTCTACCCGTACCTATTGGATTAAGCAAAAATACTATTTAAAAAACTTTTATTTCGTACATTATGCGGATAATTTTCACATTATCCACAGCCGAGTGGGTAAGTACTTAGATAAAATGTACGATAAAGTAACGACTGTAGATAATTGTTTTTGATGAAACACGCACAATAATATTTAGTTCAGTGCCATCTCTTTAAATATTTATTAATAATTTTAGTACAGTCCGTTTTAACTTTTAGTATATATGTCGTACATTTACGTTTTTAATATGACTTCACATGAATAATTTTACGAGTGTTTTTATTTAATAGTTAATGAATATTCAGTATATTTATCGTAGGTTAAGTCTAATGAAAATTCGAAAATTAAAAATGTGAGATTAAGTGGAATAAAAAGTAACAAGGCATATCTAATTTTGAAAAGGTATGACCTCGTTACTATCATAGAAGAAAATAAATTAATATTGCAGTTGTTGGAAGGTACCTAGTACAAACATTTTGTATATTTTATTAATGAAATATGTATGATGTGCTACACTATGTGCATTTGAGTATTGGACGTGGTGGAAAACACCGCATGAATGCAGAAGTTCAAAAAAAATTATAAAAACATATAACAACAAGGTAATTTGAAGTGTTTGATGCGTTGGTCATGTTGTAGACACATATAAGACTACGATTAAAGTAATATGAATACTTTATCTATAGTACATCAGATAAGTAATGTAAAAATTGATTGGATAATATATATTTAAGGTTGGTAATGTATACACTGTTCTTATGGATAAGGTTTACATTACCCTGCAGGTAATATATACATTACCTGTTTATAAACCTTACCAATAACATTTATATAGTTATATATTTAATAAATAGGTAAGTTTTGTTAGAAATATGTCATAAAAAAATTAATCTAATTTATGAATAGTAAGAAAGTTTAAAACAATAGCAAAATAAGAATAATGATGTAAATCCATTTCTGGTCAAGTGTATTGACTGTAATTTCAGTATGAAAAAAGTTTATAAACTATAAAAAAATGTATATACATAAAATTTAGTCTAATGTAATATGTACCCTGCAGAGTGCAGATGACACTGCTATTGTTCTTAAGAATGTAAATATGATCAATATTTGTACTATAAAGCAAATTGACAAAAGAAAATTTAGAAATGACTAATAATACATAAAAGTTATGTATATATTTTTTACTTAATTAAATTATAACGATGTAGTTGAATAATAATTATTTAATTTCCACAGGTAATCTATAATATAGCATATTTTAGATGAACAAATTAAAAATAAAATATGTATGCATCAACTTGATAAAAAATAATAAAAACAAATAGTTGTACTTCTACAATCTATATGTAGTTAGGTTAGATTAATGTGAAAATATAATAGTACATTTATTTAATACTAGTAAAAATAATTGAAATAAAATAAATTTATTTTTACAGTTATTTAACCATTATAAATAAGGGCATTTGTATGCCTCTCACATTGTGGCATATTGTCTGAATAACGCATACATTAAATTATTTAAAAACTAGATTAGGTCTCAAACCTCTTTAAGTAAAGCCCTTCACTCTGTTCAGCGATGAAACATGCAGAGGTTCAATAAAAATCAGTTCTTCTGAGTATTTCCATGTATGCCCTGCAATAGTGGAACCAATGTCTATGGTAAGGTGTCGAGTGGAGGTAATCAGAATCAGCATATTTTTCACTGTACAGTTTTTACTAAGTCATTGCAATGGATATTTTTATAAATTTATTTTTAATTTTCATTCTGTTTAAAGTTTGCTAAATACTTAACCAAAGAGCCAAGATACAATATTTATAGGTTTATATACTTTCTCTTATGGAGCTTAGTGAGGATTCTAGCATATGGATAGGGTAGGTGGCTGCTTGTAAATTTTTTTTTTGTATACATTTGTTTAAAAGTGAAATGGTTTATCATTTTGATTAGTTAAGTAAATGCTTAACAATCAAATGAAATGTTAATTTCATTATTTTTTTTTAATCACTTATTTTGTATTATCAAATAAATTAATTTTTCAAACTTAATAATTATTACATATCATTTATAAACAATAGCATTTTTTTTTTTTTTTTTATGATACATAAATTATAAAAGTTTAATTTGATAATAATATATTATGATAGAGATAAAATTTATTATGCATTGTGTAAAGAATTAAAACATATATTTTTTAGTATTAATTTTTGTATGGCAAGGAAAAATAATGGAAATTAAGGATTTTAGGTCATACCTATATCTTATTAGTTATTGATACATATTCATGTGTGTACACAATTTTTGCCTTAGAAAATAAACCTTACATTACCTTACAACCATCAGCTTTAGTGTATATATCGTATGTATGGCCAAACCAAGTGAGGTGTTTTAAGAAAAGGAGAAATACAGGCCAGCATGATGCTTGGTAAATAATTTAATATTATTATTATAGTATCATATGAATGTTTATAAAATTTTACTAACTTTAAAACGTAAAAAAAATCAAACACCAGTAACTAATGATATATAACAATAAAACAATAATTATAAATATATTTTTTTATTAAAATTTAAAAAACTTAACGTTATAGACATAATTTATGAAAAGTATTATAGTATCACATACATTTATAATGACATTTGATTATCCAATTGCTCATTCATCCATTCGGAGATTGATGAGTCAGCAGACATTATTTGCATAATACGATTAACATGAATGCATATAGATTCAATATTTTTATTCCAATTTGATATTGACTTTTTAATAGCATTTTGAGCTATAAACAAAAAAATTATTAATGGAATTTAGAACATGGAATAGTATAAACATAAAACTTACATCGAAAATAAATAAAACCGTCAATCTGATCAATTGAACCTTCCATGCATTCTTCACTAATCATTTTTCCTGCTACTTTTTCAGCTTTATATCGATCAATTTTCAATAAATCTCCCAGTGATTGAATTCTAATATTTTTATACAGTTTACTGATTGATATTATGTTATGCTCAATTATAGCTTCAGAAAATAAGGGTGTTTCTGTAAAATATTTAAACAGGTAACATGTAATTAAATATTTAATGTATTTTGTTGTAAATAATTACTATATTCTGTTATTATTTTTAAATGATGTTTCAAAAGTATTTTTTTTATTTCTTCAATTTCGTCTGGTTGAATCATATGACACAGATGCATTTTTTTTAAAATTGAATAACTTAGCCATTTTTGACTTCTATTATCTTTAAACAATTTCTGTAACAGTTCGGATCGTTTGACACCTAATATAAAATACATACATGAATAATAATACATTAACCATATTGCTATTATATCTCACCAGGAGAGGATATTATAGTACATGATAAAGCACTCCTAACTGAAGTTATGCGTTCATCTTCAGTTAAATTTGTTGCATGAGACAATTCAACATAAATATATGCAGCCTGAATAAAGCTATGACGAACATCTAATAAGCGAGCGTAATATGCTTTATAACAAGTCTGAAGATATTTATTGTCTGTTAGATTCTGGAAAAATAAAAACAAATACAATTTTGGAAGTAATATATTTAATTAGGTAATTTTAAAATTATACAGTCTACTAATGAAATATTTTTTAAAATAAATTTAGTAGTTCAAATTTCTAAGTCATTTTTTTTTTTTATTACTTAATTGTATTACATAATATTGTATTGTGGTAACATAAGATTATTATCATGTCTAAGGTGGTTATTTATTTTTTCTTTAGATCATCAGTGTAAACTTATGTTAACAATTGACTGCCTTATGACTACTAGCCACATTCTATTTTCCATATCATTCAAATTGATATAATTGTCTTTATTTATTATAAAAATGTATAGTAACATTTAATAAACTTTTAAATGTATATAATATAATCCATTTAAGGTTACAATATATTATTCAATTCTAAAAACAATAATAAATGTAACCACTAATGTCTATTATAAGATTTATATTACAATATTGAACATGTTAATAATTGAAAATGTATCAACAAGAAAAAATAGCATGATAATGCTAAAAAAGTAAAAATAAATTAATAGTTTTTGGAATATGTTTTATGTTACACTTATTTTACTATATACTTATCACTATTTCAAAAACTAGTAACAATTTTCACAATAACAGTGAAGTAAGAGATAATTTTTAAGCTTTTAAAAGCTAAAAAAATCAAAGATATACTGCAAAAATAATATTAGTAAAATTCGATTGAATTGTATAGAATAACTTAATATTTATTATAAAATAATACTATCAACAGATACAGTTTCTTAATGAATTGAATATAATTTAGATACAAACATTCTTTTAACATAAACTACCACTTTTCAAATATAATCGGAATTGTCATGTATTCAGGTACTCCGTTTTTTAAAACCTTGTTTGATTTAATTAAATAATTTTGTCATTACAAATGATATTACTTGATAAGGTATTTTGGTGTTTGAGTTGACAAGTTATGTATAGTAGAGCTTCAATAGTCTGGACAAATTCAGATCAAGCATTGTCTGACTGAAGGTTTTTTAACGTTACTTACTCAAATGACTAAGATTTTTATTTCTATTTTTACCAAATTTTTTTTCGACAAGAAAAAAATGACTGAACTAATGATCAATTTATTACTAAGAACAGTAGATAATAAAAATGAAAAAATTGTTTTTATCAATAATAATATTTTATAGATAAATTGAGTTCTGAGAATTCCAAAAAAACTTAGTACATTGTATTTTATTTATTTATATTTAATATATACCATAGTTTTTTATCTACAATATTTAAATGATGGATTCAATTAATAAAATGTATACATTTTAAACAATGTTTACAATTAAGTAAAAATTAACAGTTTTTAAGTAATAGACAAATTAATAGATTGTACAACATAATTTATAGTTTATAAAAAAGAGAAGGGGTTCAAGTCTACTATTTGCATGCAGCGACAAAGTGGTTGGTTAACTGAATAATTAGAATGAGATATTGGGATGTGGAAAGAAATAGAACGACGCTTGAGGCGAGAAGGGGTTTTAAAGTTGTTGAGATAATTAAGACTGAGAGTCAAATTTACCATTGAGTATATTTGCCTACAGTCAGCTAAAGAAATAAGGTTTAAATGTAATGATATAAGAGTTTTTTATTTATTTATTTATTTTTTTTTGGGGGGGGGGGGGCACTCAATGTTTTGTAAGTAACTGACAAACCTCAAGAAATTTCTTTGAACTCTTTTGAATTGAAGAGATACTGATCAGTACTAAAATCTCAGAGAACTGAACCATATTCCAGAATAGGTATGGTTTAGAGGCAGCTCGCGCCTATGTGTGCAAGTGTGTGCGCACACCACATAAATACAGATAAAATAGTAAAAATGGACATTCAATTTTTTTTATACAATTTAAGTTTAACCATAATAATTTATTGTATATTTTATTAATTAAAAAAAAAGATTATGTTCACTTTTATACCCGAAAATATTACTCCTACAATTTATTGATGTTATCTAATTAATAAACATCATTTGGTGTTCAGCTCAGACAGAAAACTGTTTGTGTAAATTTGTTAGGCCATTGAGTGATGGATTGACGAAAGATAATTGATCGTAATGTGCAGTAACTGCAGCACATGCGGTAGTTACAGCGTTTCATAACAGTTATTATTTTATAGAGAAAAGATTTGAATTCATGAATAAAAATGTATAATTTGTTTTGGTAATTATTACAATTTATAATAGTTTAAAATTTACGTATATTATTAGGTATTATATTGGTAGGTGTATAAATTATTTTTTAAAACTTTATATAAATATTTCAATACATATCGTTCTATAATATTTTAGATAAAGACTTAATTTTTTTTTCTAATAAACTTTTACAAGAATGGCGCACACCACTCACTTTAAATACCACGAACCGCCACTGGTCTGGCTAATGCACAATTTGAGGTCTTAAGAATATTTTAAAAAGTTCTGAAATATGTTTAATAAAACCTAGAGTTTTAAGTGCTTTACAGAAAATATTAACTACGAGTAGATTGGGACTAAGAGTAGGAGTAAGAATAAATCTTAGATCACGGACTGAACAATTTACAGAAGAAATGTAGTTATTATGTATTTACGAACAAATAGATTATCAGGAGTCCAGATTATTGAGATTATATTGTATTATTTTTTTAACTTGATATAGTTAATAGTAAGGTTAAGATGATATAGTATATTATCTAACCACATTTCTTTGAAGAACTTTAAGATAACTAGGTATTGTGTTAGAAATCTGTTGCACTTTTTTATTTATTTTATTTTTGACATAACTGTATATTTAATATCCTAATATATTTAAGTTGTATTACAGAGTATATAATTTATTTTTTGTTTAAATTTCCACTAACAAAAATATTCAAATCTATTTATATATCATGTCTTTGAATGATATTAATTAATAATTTTATTTGGTTTGGTTTCTAGTATTAATTTTCTTCAAACACTTAAAATTAATATTTTTTTAAAGTAAAATACATAGAAGCAGTTAAATTATTTTGTATATACCCTCGCCTAGTAACAGTTGTCATCAATGAAAAAATTATATTACAATAAAAACTATCCATGACAGTATAACAGTATTATAAAAATATTTTGACTATCTGTCACCACTATTAATAAAGAAAGAAAGCAACAGCGACAAAATTGATCACATTTCCCCGTCACTATACACATATCTATTTCTATAATCAAGTTGTAAATAAACACATTGATAAATCACATTTATAAGAATGCTAATTTTATTTAAATAAATCATACCTGTAATATTGAAGCTCTATTAAGATACAACGCAGCTTGTGGTAAATTGTTATCTTCCAAGTAATGATTTATTATTTTAATGTACATTTTTAATTTATAATCGAGAGTAAATATTCTAAAAATTATAAATAAATTAATACAAATTGCAATAGGCTAATAAAAATAAAATAAATTAAATACTTTAGTCCTGATTCAAGTGGAATAGAGACCAGCATATGGACTGCTTGTTTAAAATTTCTTTTTTTCTCATAACTTTCTGATAAATATAGATATGTACTGGTCGCTAGTTCTTCAAAAGATGATATTCTATGACTTATCTAATAATTAAATAAAATGGTTATTTTAACAAATAAAGCATGTGGAAAAAATAGTTTTACTTTATCCAATATGAAATGAGCCAAATGCATGCCCTGTTCACACTTGAAAGTGGGTATGATTTTTGAAACATATTCATTAAGTACTGGCTGAGAAATCAACAAACTCAAGTTTTCATCGACAACTGAAATAAAAGACAGGTTAGAGTAATATTACAATAGATATAGGTATAGTCTATTAGCGCTTACGGATTTCAATTATTTTTTCTGACATAGGGAGTAAATCGCATTCAAGTGCATTTAAACGGATGTCTTTCATCAGAAGCTTATATCTGTAAAAAACAAATGGCGACATAAAATCAATTGGTGAAAGACAATATTATTATTATAATTATTATAGACAGTACCTATCTAATATGGGATAGATATGATTTGTCAGATTCATACGAGCAATGGTCAAGTTGTTCGATATGATAACTATGTAATTAATAAATCATTCATATCTCACCCATTTATTTGAACTTGTTGCTGCCCTTGCGATTCTTCAATGGTCTTAAGTCTTTCATTAAAAACCTCGTGGGTGAATGACATAACCATCTCAACCATGGTACAATGTTCGAGTATCGGCACTAAAATAATACACAAATCGTAAACGAATATATTGTTCTATATTATTATTTTATGCTTTTCTATGATCTTGAGATCACTACGGAGTAAGATAGAACGGACTGGAAACGAAAATCAAATTACCAAGAAGGGAAGGCCGTTCAAGGTTTTGGGTAGGCTTGTGCGAGAGGGAATATCAACAAATAACAATGCGTATTGGAGTGCTACCTTAGTGATCAATGATCATCGTGTGTATATATATTATATATATATATATATATATATATATGTACAAATTTATTATGGTAGTGCTCGAAACTTGATTATCGAATATCGATTTTCCCGATGAATCGGACGCGCAACGAGTAACGACTGACAATCAGTGTGACCAATCTTACGGCGGACGTGAATTTTCATATCGGTGTATGAGCGAAGCCTGTTTTGCTCGACCGGTAGCAAGCGGCTGGTTTTACGTGATTTCGTCCATGTACCGAAAATAATATTATTATATATATGTTGAGTTAGTTTTTTTTTTAATATTATTATCACGGAGGCTGAAACAAGGAGGTACGGAATACGGATGCCTACACGAAAAAAAACGTATCGAAACGAGTTTGCTCGATTAAACGACCGTAAGCTGCGCAACGAACGTTGTTTACGTAGTACGTATACCTACATTATAATATTAATGATTATTTTTAACCCGTGTAGTATCATATAGGTACTAGGAATTATTCGTGTTTTGGAAAATATAATATTATGCATTATTTTGAATCACGATCCAATATAAATTTTACATCTCGTAAAATTGCGAATTCATACAATATGCGTGCATACTGATTTATTAAAAGTATCTGTGAAACCAGTAGGTAGATAGTAGGTAATAAAATAATTGTACATTTTATTGTGAATTACATATAAAATAAATAGCATCAAAGCCTGGTATTTAAAAAGTATTTTAATTGATTTGCAATATTTGCATAAATACAAACATACCAAATGCGTAATCAAACGTCCCTCGTGAATAGAGATATTAAATACAAAGAAAATACTTATATTAATAAAGATAATAAATATTCCTAAATTATTAAATAAACATTTTGACGTAAAAAATAATTTCCTGTAGCAAATAATTAGATAATGTAGAATTCTTAAAATCAATATCATATTTGATTTTGATGAAATACAACATTTTAATCTGTATTTAAAGACACAAATTTAAAAAATATGGTAATTGTATGATTTTTAACAAAAAAATAGTATTATTTCGTATATTATACTTTGTGAACTCTATCAATACAATCAATTTGCTTATCAAAATTGAAAATATATTACTATTTACTTTCTCTTTATTTTTATTTTGTTTTTATTCATATTCGTAGGTACTGTAAGCTATGTTATATAATATTATTAATTATTATTTATATCATATAATACAGATCAGTGCAGCGTACCTATTTTCCTACGTCCCCCTATACTTACTCTTATATGTATGTTTCTGCCTATGTCTACTTTCTGTCCCAGGAACTTTTGGTTACAAAAAAAAAAAATATATATATATATTACTAATTATATTACCGTTTATTGAAATAGGCATTTAACAGAAGTATTTTTTACAGTGTGGTTATTAATATAGGTTATATAGGTACCTAATAAATTTATTTATTTAAAGGGAAAATTTTTGAAGGTTGAAAAAATACTTATTTTTTATACTGTTTATTTTACTATACTTAATAGTGACTACAATGTTATACAATAACTTGTATAACAACCCAGCACAAAACAAAATTTTATTTAAAAAAATAAATAAATATTATTGACATTTTTAATACGTGATAATAACGTATAACGTTATAGCGTAATAACGCTATATTGTGCCAAATATAGCATTCATTGTATACCATTATACTAATAACTAAAAAGTATGTACATTATGAACACACATTCAATAATTGAGGAGGACTTTGAACCCGTTAGAACCTATCTGTTGTTATTTTTAACTTGGAATTGACCTTTAATCAAACATAAAAGTTAGAAGGTTAGGTTTATCTTACGTCGGGTTTTACAGCATTTTTATATTTTAGAATTTTTAGGGGATTGGAAGCGGCGATTTTTTGTCTTTATTTAACACACGTGTAACATAGGATTATGGACGTATTATATTTCCAACGTACCAATTGAAATAATGAAGCTATAAGAATTATGAAAACAGATGTGAATTTGTCGTCAAGTCTACTTTAAATCGATCTTCTCAATTTTTTGATTTTTTGATTTAAACTTCTCCAAAAAATGAAATGTGTCAATTTTTAATTACTCTTTTTTTAATATATCATTTTTAGGATTTTGGAGGCATAATATCAAAAATGCGAGAAAGTCGATATTAAGTATATTAGATATACCATACCCTAAAAAAATATTAATCTATATAATTTTTGTGATAAATGATTTTATTCTAAGATTTCTAAAAAAAACATTAAAAAAATAATTATTTTGCACGAATACATTTTATTTATGTTGTGATTGGCCAAAAAAAGAAAACGAATACTACACTGAGATTCTATTAAAATTGATCATGTATTTAAATTTGAATTTTTTACAACCATTAGAAATACGATTATCATGCTATTCCTCTTTCCTTTTCAAATCGATCTAATGTGGTCAAGAAATTGTCCTCGCCTTGGCTGTCTGCAATTATGGGGCATCGAAAGGATGGCACTGGTGGTATCCAGGTGCGGTTGCAGTCGTCGCGCACTACGTTTTTCTCTGGGCCCTGGCACAATTGTTTTTGGATTTCTTTTTTTATAGATAGGTGCGTCTCAGAAATTAGTTCCAAATCGTGGTTCAGTTTGCAAAGACTATCCTTTATTTTAATGTAAATAATTATAATTATAATTATAATTAATGGTGATGCATAAATAATATATTACATACATTTAAATATGAATGACATTACTAACATAAACATAAATTTTAATAGGTATATAATCAAAAACAATAATTTATGACAACAATTTTATTATAAAACTTCTATTTCCATTTGGTGCCAAAATTATTAAACTTGTGGGCGTAGTACTGACTCTAGAGCATGCCACATAAAATTGTAAAAAGAACCTTAAAATGTGAGTTAAAGGCTCGCAGCATATAAGCGCTTACTCATCAATGTATATAGTTTTATAATTTACATATAAAATTTTGTTTTTTGACGATTTTAACCTCTTAAAATCAAAATTTTGGAAAATTCTTTCTTAGTGCACGGTAAAATTATAATATTAATCTACCCTCAAAATATCAAATTGATAGCTCTAATAGGTTTAGCTCTGCGTTAAATATGAATCAATCACTTTAGACAGTCTCGTTTATATTTATAGATAGATAATATAAATAATATATTGAATAATATAGGTAATGTACATCATTTTTTATGTTATGTCTATTTAAATTTTTTTTATTTCCAATTCTTTTTTTTTAAATATACGCTGCATTGTACCTATTTATTATATCTATCCATTAAGTATGGTATTATAATGAAATACAGTTTTTTTCCTGTTTGTTTACACCCACTGTTGTAATTAATTGGAATTCTTCGTTCTAAAACTGATAATCATTACTATGAGTCCCCTCGATTTCTTGAGAATAACCACACCGAAAATGTATCATAATAAATAATAATTAAAGCTACTGTATTTGATAGAGATTGTAAACATATTAAACACACACCTACATATCTATGATTCCCCTAAAATTATGCTAAAATGGGGAGCATTTATCTAAATAAAAAATATATATTTTATTTGCTGTATATTGTTAGGTAATTCTTTTATTACTTTGTTTTCATACACTATCATTACTTACAATAATATATTATAACAGGCATCATATGTATTGTGAAAATTAATACCTAATGTTATTAAAATAAAAATGTTAACCTCGTATTTTTCAATTTCCTTTTCCACTTTTTCTAAAAAATTGTTAGCCATATTCTTAAATGACAAAATATTCAGTTGATTTTCTTCCAGCTTAGAACACGACTTTTCAAGCATCTCTCGCGTCCATCGATGAACCTCACCTCCATCGTTGTATGTTTCAACATCAGTATTTAGTGAATAAATTCCCCTCTGCATCATGGCATATATCACATCCTTAGACAGTTGCATGGGCTTATTTTTAAATACACCTTCATCTCTCATTTGCTTTAATCTCGACCACCTAGTTTTATTGCTATTTTTGGATTCCGCAGAATCCAGATATAAAAGAAATAACACCAATAATATGGTGGTGGATACTAAGAAAAATATAATTAACAGTTCCATTTATATGACAGAAATATTTAAATTTTTGAACGTAATAAAAATAATTAATTTTTTCTAAAAATCAGAATATAAGCTATAACAGTTTGTTTATTCAGTCCCTATGAGTGATAGATTTTGAAAAAATAAATAGTTACATAACGATGCATAATTCTTTAAAATTAATTTTTTATTCTTGTAAATTTATCCACTAGTTAAAAAAGAAATATTTACACGGTAAACATATTTTTTTTATTTTTTTTTTTAGTTACCTACGTAACAGTATTTTAATTAACAATATAATATATTAATCAATGAAGTTATTATGATTACATTTTTAATATTTGTTTGATTTTAAATAATAAATCGGCAAACTTACTGTACTAGTAATTATTTGGTATACCTATTTAAAAAGTACTACTATATGAATTACCTTATTCAAATATGATTCAAAATATATTCATTTTGAAAGTTAAATCGAATTGTTGGCATAACTTTAAAATTAATAGAATCACAGTAACTGATTATTGTAACAGTTTTAAAATATTTTTTATTTTATTATTTATAAAACTTCGTTGTGGTTACATTTATTACAATCATATTCAGAACTATTGATATTTTTGTCAACATAAATTGAATGTAGTATCATATTCGGAGTGGGTTATCATTAATAATATAATTTATAAGTAATTGACTTAGCTTAGCAAATACATACATTATAATTATTAATAAATAATTTATTAAGATCAACTAGGTTAAAGCTTAAATTTAATATACTACCAAGAGTCACAATTACAAAATATTGAATAGGTACCTAATTTAAAAATGAAATATATTAATGGTTCCTACCAAATAATATTAAAAGCTAATTAAATAATTTGAATAATAAATAAATATAAATAGTTGTACAAATTGAAATAAATAAAATTATACAATACATTATAATATGATATAATATTTATGATAATTATATAGGTACAGTAAGTTTTTAGTATAAATATGAATTAGGAAGTAAAAATTGTTTAAAAATGTATTTTTATAATTTAGATATTTTTTAATGTAATTAGTAGTATAATTATATTGTATGAATATCGACTGAAACTTGGATTTGGAGACCGTAAAAAAGTTGTAATTTTATAATCATTATTTTGATTCCATAATATGCTGAAAAATGAAAATTATCGAAAATGTATCTCATTTGTGTAGACTCTATAACTATTATTATAGCTATAATATAATAGTAGGCATAATGATTGCGAATTGATTGCATTTCTTTATAAATTATATATTATCAAAGATCAATCGTTAATATTGAATATTATGTGTGCAATGTGAACCTAAAATATATAAATGTAGTTAAGTTATTGTATGGACATACTAATAATGATTGATGATTCTTTAATATTAGAAATAAAACTACTTAATGATATTTATAATACGATAAATAATTTAGTTAAGTTTATTATGCTTAACTATCTTCCAAAATATAATATTTATGAAAAGATACTCGTGGTTTTCTAAAAAGTATAAGTTAAATAACACGATGGCCATATTTTTAAATTATGGTTTAACTTATATTCACACAGATTATTTAAAAGTGAATAAAAATATATTATTGAAGGCAAATTTATTAATAGTTAGCATTTTGAAATATTATTCTTTAAACTTTTAATTCAATGATCAAAACTTTCATTCATAAAAAATATTAATCAACATAAATATATTATATAAAGAAAAAAAAAATTGGAAAGTAGGTACTGCTCTAGTGTACAGTAATTATTAAGTGGATCACTGTGATAAATATTTTAATAATTGTATACAGAAATAACGATTTTGAGTAGAGGTGATTTTTCAACATATATCATGAAACCTATATTTTTAATATTGATATGAAGTAATTTATTTAATTTTACTATTAATATTACGATAAGTTGATTTAATTTTTAATAAAGAAATTGTATTCATTATATTTTTGGTTAATAATATATATTTACACAAACATCATAATATTATGTTGATATATTATAGTGAATAGAATAAGTTTATGATATAAAATTATAAATAGGTAATGTCTTAAAATTAATTTATATATTCTGAATCTGAACATGTCATTATGTATGTTGAATTTATAATATATGTAAAAGTTATCAGTTCCATGAATAATGTTTTTAAATTATAACAAAATAATTAACATTATTATTCATCATCAAAATATGAAATTCTGTCCAAATTTGAATGTAAAATATTTATAAAAAATTATTGCGTTTTGTAGGTACATTTTTAGATATTTTAGTTTCAGTATGAAATATTTATGAGGAATAATATATTACATTTTCAAATCTTAGCTATTAAAGTTGAAAGTTATATGAATTATTTACTACTAAATACTAGTAATTTTTGTGATTTTAACGAATTTCGTGAAAATTTCAATTTAAAATATACATAAAAGACCCATGTACCTATTTGTAATATTTTTGTGTATTTAAAAAAAACTTATATGGGGTCTTATATTAAATCTTCAAGAATTTTGATCCAACGAATAATTTTTTTATCATCATTTATGTAAGAAAAATGATGAAAAACTTAAAATTTCTATAAATAGCTCAAAAAGAGTCAAAATATTTAAAAAAAACTATACTATATATAGAATTAAAATATTTTAAATATTTAACAAAAGTTTCAAGTATTTATATTTATTAGTTTTTGAATTACATTAAATTTTTTTATTAATATTTAAAAAATAAAACTAATTTTTTTAAAATATATTGTATTTAAAATTATAATATAGTTTTTGGTGAAAGTTTCAAGTATCTGTGGTTATTTTTTTTTATAAAATAAAAAATTAATTAATTTTGTAACTGGCTTAGCATGAAAATTCACGTTTATTCTTAATATTATTTAGTTTTTTTCAATTATTTTAAAAAGTACTGGCAATTTTTATACAAATTAGATCCAATTTGTTGTCAGAAATCATCACACTCTAAGTTGAAAGTTGAAGCATTTTTTCAACTGCTCATTATCTCGTGTATACACATAAAAAACAGCATAGATAGAAGGTATAATCCATACATTCATTGCTTCGATTAGAATCTAAAAGTACATAATATATAATACTGTTATGGTATTTTAGTATGTTACTATACATTTATAAGTTGTATTTTGTTAAACAATTAGGATATATTATGTATATTAGCATGTAGTTAACATACATTTACACAACTACTGAAAAAATTTGCAAGTCAAGTTTTGCATCTCTAATGACAAACATTTTTTAAATGGGTGGCGCTGGAGAGATGTACGTATTAAAATTAAATCAGTGCAAACATATTATACCCAGGCCTGGACTGGGAGGATACCGGCCTACTGTTCTCAGCAAGCAGGCGGCTTATAAGCCAATAGATACAATATAAAAAAGACCCTTTTTTTTGCTCATTAATTGTAAAAAACTTAAGTATTTTATTACAAAATCGAGGCATGCGGCCCACTGTGCTGTAGAACAGTAGTACAGTGGCCCAATTCGAGCCTGATTCAAAAAGACACAAATTATGTCGAATGTCGACATAGTACCTATTGAATTTTACCAGGATTGCAGAATCAGACTTTTATCGTTACCACAAAACATATATATATATATATATTATTGGTTTAGGTAGGTATTATAAGATAACAGATTTAGTGATAACGGATTATCTTTGATTCAATTATTTTCACAAAAATACTAAAGTTACTTAAATAATAAAAGTATATGTATGAATGAGCAATTTTTTAAATTATTTATTTAACCTGGCAATAATTCAAAATAATAAAGTAATTAAATAATTGTCCAAAATACGTAAAAAAACATTAATATAATTATATTTATAAACCTAAATACTTAATACTACGTGGGTTAAAATAACATAATTTTGAGAAGTTTACAGAAATAGAATTTGGTCTTCTTATTTTAGTCTTCATAATTATTTGAACATAATGTATAATTTCATCTCGAAGCGGTACGCCGGTACCTATCTAGTTCTTACGTTAAACGCCAGCTATATCTACTACATTTTACGATTGACAGTCTAGGCTGAACTTTTAAAATATACCACAATAAATAGCAGAATTTATAGATAAATTAATATCATTATAATATTCCGTATGTTTCTGTGAATTGGTAAAACTTTAGGAACACTTTAGCTGTCTAGCTATATTAACGATTAACACATTACCTGATATTACCAGGAAACAATCAGGAAATTCTGGTTGATACTGAAAACCCTATCATGGGTATTTTTTTAAGATGATAATATTTAATAAATAATGCTGTTTTTGATTCTATTTCACTTTTATACTAAATAAGTAGTAGGTATTAACTTGCATAAAAATGTGTGAAATCAAATTTAAGATGATTTTTATTTGCTTAAAAAGTGAATATCTGTGTACATTATTTTAAACATTTTTAACTTTTAAAATAATTTATATAGTCTTCAATTAATATTAATATGATTGCTTACACATTAATTAAAAGAATTGTATTAAAAAATGATATATGGCAATATGAAAAATTATAGTTGTTATTTTTATATTATTACTTATGTATACTTAACACATTTACAGATAAATACAAATATATTTTGTAAATTTTAAACATAAATAATATAACGCTGCATTATGTTATTAATATAACTATTAAAATTATAATTTATAAATATTAATAATAATTTTCAATTAATTAAATACTAAGCTAATTTGTTATTTTTATCTTTTTTATTTTTCTTTTTTATTTTTCAGAAAGCTTCAGTCAAATTTGTAATAACTTTGATATAAAAGTTCTTCAATCATAAACTTAAACACCAAATGATCTTCACTGCAGGTACCTATAAATTATAATATAAACTATTAATTGATATTATAAACTCAGTTACAGTAGTATAATATTTACATTTGCAATAAAAGGTTTGATATATAAAATAATTATGAAAAATCAATACATATAGAAATTATTATGATTATTGAAATACTCTTAATTCTAAGTTTTATTCATTTTTTTAAAGGTCAGTTAAATTATATTCAGAAATCTACTTATTTTTTATTGTAATATATTATAATATATTTAGTATATATTAGTAAACTTGTAAGATTGTAAGGTGGTAGATATAGTATATACAGCGTATGGTTAACCCTCTCCCCGCTTGAAAACTTCTGAAAACATTTGAATTAATTTGCTTAAAAATTTCTATTCCACTCACTTAAGTTGTACTTAAGCCTTTCAAAGTAAGATATCTAAATGTTAAATGTTAAAATGTTAATAATATTTTTTTATAAAGGTAATTTTAAAGTAAATTTCATGACAAATTTAAATATGTATTCAGAAATGTTATCGTATAAATCGGTAAGTTGGTTTATACGATTAGCAAATAGATGATAGTTTTGAGTGTTTTAACATAAAAAACAATTAAAATAATTTTAATATTGATTAACCTACTAAGTTATATATTGATATGTGCGTATACGAGCGGAGGCGCATCACTATTTATTTTACACATATACGTGCACGATCTACATGCATGCACTAAGAAACGTTGATATTGAACTCCTTAAAAACGATTAGTATGGAATAAGAGCAGTGTTGAATTCAGACATTTTTTCCAGGGGGGGCAGTATGAGATGTGGAATTAATATAATACAAATTAACAAATTTTACTTTATTTACCTGATTAATATAATTGAACATAATTGAGCTTATAAAAACAATTGAAATTATTTAATATTTAAAAAATGTATAATTAATATTACTATTTAAAGCGTATGCGGCGTGTTTTCTTTGTTGCATATAAATCTATCACCTCGTCGACATATTCAATTGACGGATCTTCATCACCTTCTATACTTATTTTCATACAGTATTGAAGAGTATCTTGTCCCATTCGGTTGCGAAGATTTGTCATAATTCTATTCATCGCACTGAATGATCTTTCTACGGTAGGCGTTCCTATTGGAATACATAAAATGGATTCTGATAATTTTTTCAGATGTTCATAACCAATATTTGCTTCAAGAAGGTCAGTTATTGGATATCCGTTTGTTTTAACTTTCTGTGAAGCAACAAACATAAAAGACTTATAATCTGATAATACTCCATCTTTTTCATTTTCATTTAAAGAAAAACAATCACATAACTGTTCAATAATTTTTTTCTGATGAATTTGAAAATGATTTGTAATCTTCGAATATTGCACACCCTTCGATAAGTGTTAAAGCTGTGTCATTAAATCGACGGTTCATTTCTTTGATTGTTTGTTCCAAAAACTGTGAAAGGCAAGATATTGTTTCTTTGAAATAATCGTCTTTTTTTAGTGAATTAAGTTTACTTGAAATATCAGTAGCATTTTTAATGATGGTACTTTTATTCACTGAATCTTGTTTTAAACCTTCTAAAATTTTATTTAAGTGACATGTAGTACTTTTAATTAATGTTGGCAAAGCTGAAATACAAATTGTAGGACCTTGCAGTGTTAAACTTAAATTAGAGATTGCGCCTAATATTTCATCCAGTCCACACAAAAGTACTATAAAATTTTCTTCGCGGAGACTTAGTAAAATTCCACCGGCCAAAGATGCTAAATCTGCGCCATCTTGATGAATGTGTTCACAAGTAGTAGTTATAGCAATATATGACTGTTTAATTGCATGAACTATTTTATAATGACTTAACCACCGAATTTCAATAGCCTCAGGTATTTTTAATATTGGATCATTTAAAATCGCTTGTATTTTATGAAGCAGTTCTTCTCGTTTAGGAGATTGATGAAACAGTTTATAAATATCTTTCAATACATGGAACACACGTTTAATTTTAGGAAATTTGTTGCGCATACTAGTTAATGCAAGTGATAATACGTGAGCTCGACAGTGAATATATGGCACTTCTCTTCCAGCTTTATCGGATACAAATCTACGAACTCCACCTTTATTTCCGGACATGTTTGATGCCCCATCAAAACCACAAGCTATAATATTATCATAGGACAAATTATGCTTAGTTAACTCATTGCTTATTGCATCTATGATTGTTTGAGCTTTAGTATCAGATAAAGCAACAATATTAAGAAATCTCTCAACTGGTTGATTATTTTTAACGAAGCGAACACATATAGATAATTCAGATTTATTATTTATGTTTGTACTTTCATCGGCTAATAAAGAAAATTTTTTCCCGTATATTTCTTTGTCTAACTTAGCATCTAATATTTCTGAAGCACAACATAATAGCTCACTAGCTGTAGCTTTACTCGTGTATGTTGAGCGGTCACTATTTGCATTAATCCAATTTTGAAGTGAATCGCTGGTTTTCACAATTAATTGCTTAATTAATGGCTCATATTTAGTTGTATGAGCTATTTCTTCTTTCACTAAAAAATAAACAGATCGGAAAAGGTATGATAAATGTTTGCGGTTTATTTTACATTCTTCAGAATTTTGATTTAAAATTTGATTATATACAGGGTTTTTTAAAGCTACCAAAGCAAGTTTTTCTAGTTCTACACTACGAATATGTGACGCAGAATATGTATGTTTATTTAATTTTCCATCTTTTCCCAAAGCATTTTTATAGTTTTGGAATGGTGTTTTAACAAAAATTCCTCTTGAGCTAGCAAATAACGCTGAATCGTTGATTACATGTTTTTCACATAATTTACAAAAAGCACCAAATCTCTGATTATCAAAATAAAGCCAAGGATAATCTGCTTCCCATTTAGTGTTATACAATCGATTTACTTTACCTTGTTTCGATGAACTACTAGTTAATGTAACTGGGTTCTCTGGTAGGTTATCTAAAATAAAAATTATAAAAACATTAAATAATAAAATTAAATATTTCTAAGTAGAATGTAGATTATCCAAAATATATTTTACCTTCAGTTGAAGAGTTAGTTACAATATCTTGATTTATGTTAATAGAATCTGTTGAATCTACAATTTTGGTTTTTTTATTAGATGAAAAATAATCTTTGATTGATCGTTTTGACATTTTTAATTTTATAAACAAAAGAAGCGTATTTGCCACAAAACTATTACAATCACAAAATACAAAATAATAATAACTAGGTAATTTTTTCTACGTTAATATTGACTATAACAGAGACGCGTGATTTTTAAACTGCGAGGTGGTGTCTACCGTCTAACATTAGGATTAAGTAACCCAATAAATTAAATAACATTAATATAATATGTTCGCGCAAGTTATCGAGTGCGATAACTTCAAATAGATATTAATGCCGCCCTAATCGCGACTCCTCTCTTCTGGGGTCGATGGCCCTATTATGTGCTATTTTAAAATCGATTGCCCGACAGTAAAAACGAATTAGTAGGTCAACGGCCCTAACAATCACGTATCTTTACGGAATTATAACCGCCGTAAAGATTACGTATAGATATTGCCCTATCTTAGGTGATATAGGGTCATTGGTCACTAATTTCGAATAGCATATTTTTTGGTGTTGTCGGAGACACCGGCAAAAAGGAATAGTGTCTCCTCGGTGCGACGCCTTCGTGGTAACAAGTTGTCGGCACGTTGCCGCCTCAGACCGTCTTGTGAACAGTGTTTCCAATTATATTATTTTAACGGGCTGTGTAATATGCACCTAGACCATTCAAATTGTTTCATTAATAAATAAATCATTTATTTACTGACATTTAACCGGGGGGGCAAACAAAACTTCAGGGGGGGCAGTTGCCCTCCCTGATGTATACCTGGATTCAACACTGAATAAGAGTGAATATGGGTATACTTACTTCAGCGCTTTGCAGCATCTCAATTAAGTAATATTTTTAAGTAAAATTCTCCTTAGTCTTATACGCATATAAACACTCGATGATTGAGATACGAGTATAATATTTCATATTTATATCTAAATAATAAGTATCTAATAGCAAATAATATGCAATATACCTAATATTAATTAGTATCCTCTTTTGGATGGGATTCATCATCATCAGATTCATTATTTTGAAATATATTATTTTGAATTATTGTGCATATTAGTATCTCGGGATTGTTTACTTGCTCGGACGATTTGGACGGTTGCTGAGTATCTTCTTCGTTGTATCCATTTAGATGCTGATCAGCCGAAGTAATTAAAATCGATCTAAATGGTTTTTCCGAGCTTGTCTAAAATTGAATTAAAGTTTCATAAGAAAAAATAACATATGAGTATAATAAAATATTGTGCTTACACTTTTTTGCTTTATAATATTATATACTTCTGAACGGATTTCATTCATCTTTTCATCGTATTCAGTCAAATAAACGTAGCATTCATTCTCCTGCTGCCTAACCGAAGTAAGTATAGTAGACCCTACTGAATTGCTTGAGCTCGACTAATCAAAAAATTATACAATAATTATTATTTTAGCCCAAGAATTTAGTCAAACATAATTGTTTAAATATTCATACATGCTTTACAATTATTTTTATTAAATAAGAATAATACGAACTGATATGTGTTTTCCATCATCGCTACACTGAGACGAATTGTTAATCGAATGATATTGCATGGCGTTAAAGCAATTTGTTATTCTTATTTCATTATTTGTATTATTTTCACTGGGGTCATCAAATTGATAGTCAATAACATTTGTCATATTATTACTGATGGTAAACTATAAATTAAATTTAAAATATTTTTTGATTAGTCTACGTAGATAAAAATGATATCATGCACAGAGTTTATTATATGCATTTTACGTAATTTAAAATCAAACTATAATAAAATATTTTTATAAATCACTTGTACAATTGAAAACTAAAATTTTTTTTAATAATATAAAGCATTTAGTCAGTTTAAAAAAATGAAAACACACATAACAAAATAGGTAGCTTAGAAATTATTGTAGTTTTTCAATGCACCTTTTGACGCGTGTTGTTTATCTCCAAGTCGTGTTCGGTCCAGTCATAGTTATAGTCATCCTGCTGACTAACTGCAGTAATAGTTGTTCCTATTGATTCGTCGGAGCACTCTGAGCTTGTCTAATCAAATATAAAATTTAAAATAATAATTATAATAATATAATTATATGAAAACGACACTAAAATGTGAATAGACATATTCGTAATATTTTAAATATTGACACTTGTACCCACATTTATTGTTATTAAAAAATAATAATACGCACGGTACTCATTTCATGATCGCTGCACTGAAATAAATCTATACATTTATTGGTGCCAAAGTTATCTGTTTTTTCAACTTCATCATTTAAATAATATTTATTATTATTATAAGTGGTAAACTAAAAAATATGTTTAGAATATTTTTTGATTAGTTTACATATATAACGTATTAAATAACTTTAACAAAAAATGTATGTATTATAAAATAGTATGAAATTTGTATTATATATAGGTAATATATACACACCTTTGAACGGATATCATAAATTTTATTCTTATCTTGAGTCCAGTCGTATTCATTATCCTGTTGGTTAACTGAAGTAATTACAGATGATCTTATTGATTTGCCCGAGCACTGTTTGCTAGTCTAATCGAATTAAAAATTGAAAAAAAAAATCAAATAAATAATAACTTAATAATTATAATAATTCTGGAATATATAAAATATTTTAAATATTCATCGTGATAGACTTATTCTTATTTAATAAAAATAATATACATTGTGTTTGTTTTATCATCACTGCACTGAGTGCACTGAAACAAATCGGTATGTTTGATGGTGTTAGAGCTATCTATTACTTTTTCTTTATCATCAAGTAATATTCACTTGGATCACAATTAACACAATTACAGGTAATAACGATTAACGTTATTCGTATTATTATAAGTGATAAATTATAAATCACGTTTAAAATATGTTTTGGTCAATTTACGTATAAAATATAACGTAATTACTAATTTAAAGAAGAAAAAAAATAACAATGACAAAATAGTATAGAATTTGTAGCTTTTCAATAAAATATACACCTTTAAAGATTTCTTAATCATTTTTCCGTTGTTATGATTTCAATAATAGCTGTATCAATTATCCTATAAGCTAACCTAAGTAATTACAGTCGATCTTATTGATTTGTTTAAGTCGGTCTGATTGAGTTTAAAATTAAAACAAAAAAAATTTATATAAATATAACAAAATATATTTATGGATTGGATGTATATAGATCCAATACTAAATAGGTTGTTGTATAGAGTTTAACTTAATCCGTATACTGAACAGTATTAAAAATAAAAGAAAAAAAATGATTTGAAACTATAAGCTATATACTCGTATTATATAATAATAATTCATAAATTATTATATTATTTGTAAGTGCGTTTCATATATCTCTTCACGATACTTACTTCGTCTACCGTGTAGTAGTTAAATAATTGTGCGTCTTGCACGTCCGCAGTGATTAGTTCCGGATTGACTATTTTTAAAACAATTGCTGGTAACAAATCCCCTTGATTATTAGGTAAATTAAATGATGACGTACCAAACGCATTTTCTGTAGAATATTTTTGATAATTAATATAATATAACTACTAATCAATAATAATTTCTTAATTATAACTTATATTGACAGATTTATATAAATCGGGTTTAAATTAATACGCCTGCTTAACAAAAAGTTGAAGTTGTTTTTCTGTAAAATTATTAGTAATAATTAATAACTAAGGTGCGGATTTACATGTATTTAAAACTTAAGACTATTTACACATACACACATATATTATATATATATATGTGTGTGTGTGTGTGTATTTATTTTTATCCAAATATGTAATAAAAGTAAATTATGTTAAAATATGTAAGTAAGCTCGAATACCTATGTAAAAATATGTAGTATCAACCATAGCTTAAAGCATTCAGATTGTTCTGAAACGTATTTCTAAAAAAAATCGTTCAATTACCATTATTCGTCACAAATATGTATATAAATATAAATCTACACTCTATAGATTATTACAAATGACTGATGAACATAATAAACTGAGTCTTGATATAATCAAGTTTGGTTTTTGATTGACTGTTGAAAATTTTGAATTATCTAAGTTTGCAGAGCTTTTGAAACGTTATAAAATATAATAACAAATTAAAAAAAAAGTCAACGTGTACCTGTACTGGCTATATCAATGTTAAGTTTTTTCGATTTTATTTTGTCGTTGTTGACATTGGTATGAGTTAGAATTACTTCGTGCTTGCGTTTATTGTCCATTTCACAGAAAGTCGGGAAACTTGTAACTGTAAGAGTATTTTATTTAATAGGTACTATTTCATATAATATTACTTGTTATTATTAAGTAAATAAGTGTCGACATATTGCAAAACTATGTGAATAGGTTCGTGGTATAAACACACCTTAAAATTTATCTAAATATATCTTAAAAAATTCATTGTTTATAACAAATAATAATATACGTAGGAGTAAAAAGTTTCAAGTCCCTATATAATTTTTTAAATTACATAAGTATTACAAGGTTTGAGTATATCTAACGTCAACAATTGAACTTCTAACATGATATATACTTTATAATTTATATAACCATTATTTAAACCTAACCTATGATAACAAATGTAAGTGGCTTATTTACGCTAAACTTTTTTTTTATTTTCAATAAAATTAATTTATGATTTATTATATACAGCATTGATGTTAAAATAAAAAATGTTATGAATTTTAATTATAATTTGATGTACATCATTTTTTTGTTGAGATCTTAAAGAATTTTGTGAAAATAATAACTTAAAAGTTATTTTCTTTTTTCTTAAATTATGATTACATATTAGAGGCTTTAGAAGTCAATAATATTAGATACTCAGTTATACCGAGTAAAATTTAAAGTGTATTCAAATATTTCAAATAAAATGTTAATGTTATGTATTTACTTGACCGATGACCTGGAAGCAATACGTGGAGCAAACGATAAAATGAAATTGTTTCGGTACAAAATTGTAGTAGGTCGAAAAATTATTTTATTATAATAATTATAAACTTTGTTAAGTAATCAGAATATAGTTATATCTATATGGCGGAACTGTGTGATAATACAGAATGAATATATTTTGACACATTTGTCTAGCCGTTTATAATATAATATATATATATATACACATATATACATACATATATTGTAATAATAAAATGCCTTTATATTATCTAATAAAAAAAAAAAAATAATATAAAATAATCAAAAATTGTATTATGTTTAGATGCTAATCAAAAAGTGTTGTCGAAAATGTCAAGTTTCTAGGGTTATTTATTTTTGAATTGTAAAAAACAAAATCGATTTTGAAAACTGGTTTTCTCTTTTCTCGAGTACCAATTTCATCTAATTTACTACCAATAACTGCCCTAAAAGTTGAATATTTAAGAATTTTTTAATTTTTTTACTGCTTCTTAATGAAGTTCCAAGTTAAAAAAAAAAAATAATGCTCATTATAAAACAATGTCCTTGTCCCACTTATACGTTCAGAATTTATAAAAGACTGAATTACATCAGAGTAATGAAAATATAAAAACATTAAAACAGATAAAAAAAAAAAATAAATCAATTTCTAAAAAGTAAATTGATAGCTCGATGTGAAATTTAATAAAAACGCTATTCGTGAATCCCTGTTCGTTCGATGGTCGTTTTGGCTTCACCTGCAAGAGATGTCTTTGTTTAACACTTACGTAACAGAAAAATCTACATACATGATTCTTACTATTGTTACTACAATTATTAATATAGGAGCAAATTTTAAAATTATTAAATTCGAAGATGAGAATATAAATTATGTTAAAGTTTTTTTTTATATTTTTATTTTAAAATTAATTATAAGTAAGTGTTTGAATAATTAATTTTTTTCTTTTAATTTATATAAAAATATATATGACAAAAAACTCTTTATCAGTTTAAAGATTATATTCTACTCTACAAATTCTGAAGCAGTGTTTAGATAGTTCAATTAGAGCTATGGTCGTTATGGTCGGTCAAAAATTGAATATTGATTAACTATATGTGTCATGTAGCTAATTTTATTTATAATTCACTCAAACCAAAACTAAATGATATTTTGGGTGTTGCTACCATAATATAAAATATACTAGTTATAAATTAAAAACACTAAATAATACAAAATAATTAATTACTGTAACGTGATAATATAGATATTAACAAAATTATAAGCCATTTTTGTTCGACTGTGATTATATTCATAAAAATAATATTTAATAATCTTGTATTAACTTTTAATCCTTATTCTTTAGGTACCTACTTACAAAAATTAGTTTTTATAGCTATATTCCTAAGTTATTTTTTACGATTTTTAAATTTTAATGTGAAATATGAGCATTTTAAAATTGTAATATCTTACATACTTACATAACTCCACAAAAAATTGAAATATTGTAAAAGAGCTAACACAAAAATACTAATAATGATTTAATTTTTCACTAAAAAAATTTCTAAAAATATACATGCAACTACGTACACGTTGATGTGTATATTACTACTCTTTAGAAAGTTATTGTTTTCAAAATTATCTTACCGAATTATAAAGCCAATCGATGTAATTAAGATATTATAAATTTAAATGCATAGACTATAGAGTTTAAAAAGATTTAAAACTTTAATAGCAATGGTTCCCAAAAATTTTAGTTTACGCATCACCAAAAATAAAAAATTCAATTCTGCCTCTCCTGAATAAATGGAATAACAATTTTTATTAGTGTATAGTACTATATATTAGTACTTCTAGTGTACGTGTAAAATATTAATATTTATATTGGGCTTCACAGTTTAAGGACTGCTGTTTTAGAGTTATAATATTATACAGCGAAATATTTTGTCATTTGAATATAAATGGAACTACTGTTTCCTTTTAGTATTAGATCATTAAAAAATACAATTTAGTTGAATAATTACATCTAAATAGCAATAATTTAAATGTGTCTTTTATTGTAATGTCTCTCAAGTATACTATTCAAAATTACAAAAAAATTAAAATATTTTGATTTTTTTTTAATCTATAATAGAATAATATAAATCTAAGTTATGATTACAAAACTTGAAGAACAAAATTCTACTTTAAATTATCAAATAGATGTAGTTGAAACAGTAAAAGATGGACTAAAGACAATTGAGAATGAAAAAGGACAAATACTCTATGAAAAATTCAAATCAGTATTTGATAAAAAACCAAGATACAATATATTTTAAAACTATACAACGATTTAATAAATGGAAATGACGTAGATTTAAAATAAAATTCTGCTATTATAAGTTACTAACAAGTCGTGTCGACGTAAAACGTATGTTTTCACAGTTAAACACATACTAAAAGATATAATTTTATAGAAAAAAATCTAGAAATATACATTATTATAAGTTTTAATCGAATATTGTTAAGTCAGTTATATACATATTGTCAGTTTATAATTTTATTTAAATTAAATTTTTAAACTTTATATTTTAATAGAATAGATTCTTAATAGTTAATTCCAACTAATAAATAATAATATTATAAAAAATAAATAGTAACGCAAATAAAATTTTAAGTACCTATAACACAAATTTTGTTTTTGTACATTTTAATATTTTAATTATACATTTTTTAGATGTTAGCTGCACAAAATTCCGGTCATTTGGTAATTTTAACAATGACAATAAAACGAGTACTTACCGACAAACCAAGTCCAAAGATTTCTGTCGAGTATTGGTAGAACGATTAGAACTGGAGTGCTGGACTGAACGACACTGACCGCACATTGAATATGAAACATGTTTCGACGGTTTGAGTTCTTTCAACACCACCTAGCGGGTAAATGTTAATGATATACTTACCTATACATATGAACATTGTGCATTGCATTTGAGAGATTTGAAAATGGCAGAGCATTAAACAGAAATTAGTAGCTCTTATTGGAATTAGTTTTCCATGTACAAATATACTATTTGATTGTTTATCGACATAATATGACGTAATTGCGTAAGTCAAAAGTATAGGTCGGCCGTCGTTCATCAGTAGGTCATAGTTTAGGTAAAACATTATTGTAACGGGTTTGTGTCCAAATAAAGTATAATTTATACACGATACCTCAGATTTTAGAATTGTTTTTTTTTTTTCTAATCGTATTTTATATATCTCTCGACGACATCGTCCATTGAGAATTAGAATGGATTAACCTAAGCATTGGATTTATTTTTAAAGTTACACATTTTTTGTAATCTAATTATGTAAATTATTTTTTTTTTCGGTAAACAGTTATCCGATTTAATATAATCCATATAACTATAACCGGTTAAGAAATATTACATTTAGTTGAGTAGATTGACGAGAACGAAGTTTTCGAGTTACATTCCTTTTGACTACCTAATGTTTAAAAGAAATTGACAACCAGTCATCGCCTAAGTATAGTTATTTAGTCGATTCACTTTTCAGCCTCAATAATTTCATAAAATCTCATAAAAACATAATTCTTCGACAAATCATTAATCTAAATTAAAAAAAGTTAAATGAAATCAGTTATACACGTCTTACAGAAAAAATACAATAAAATGTACATGCTGAATATTTGTAGTTTAAAATAATAAAGAATTATGAATTATATTAGGTATATATATATCATTACAACGAGATGTAAGTTTTTGTTTTGTGGATCATTAACCTTTTGGAATTGTTTTTTAATATTCTGATTATTTGGTTGGAATTTGCTTTACACATTATTATGGTGTATTCATTTAAAACTTAGATAATAAAACTAAAAATAATCAGGTACAATATGTTTTATAGATATAAAAATATCAGTAAATTAATTATGAATATTATATTTTTTATTGACTATGATTTATGAGGCTCTCTGATAAATTTATTAATTTTACAATGATGTGTGTGTGTGTACCCATTATTTTTCATTTTCGTGTCCATCATCACGGTTTTGAGTAAAAAAAATGCTTACATTTTCATCTTTTAATGTATTTATTAGTTATTTATGATAGAAAATCAGATATAGTTGAAGTATATACACATCAATTTCAGATCGTATAAAATTGGTCGCGGTACTGATAAGACGTAGACATTTTCTTCTTAATAAGTGTTTTAAGTACGGTATGTACAATAATCATTAGTCATTACTATACATAGGCAAACATTGTAGTATTATTTTAATACACGGAAATTCGATGAATATTCATCGCTTGTCAAGAATAGCTCGTAATTTATATTTATGTGATAATTTTTTCTCCAGAATTTATAGTAATTATTTTAAAAACGTTACTACAAATTTACCAAACGATATGTTATTTGTTTTCATTACTTTATAATTGTTAACATATTTTATTATTTTTTTAAATACGAATATTGTACTTTTTCCATAACTTATAATATTTATTAAGATGAATGACAAAAAATAATATTTTTATTATACATAATATTTTTTTTTCGTCATCTAACGTAAAAATTCTTGTAAATTTTTTAATAATCGGAAAAAAAACATGGAAAAACTAGAATATTTTACACTAACCAGTTTTTGATAAAATTAATTTTTTTATTTTGTTAGGTATAACTAGTTAATTCATAAACAAATAACCACAAAAACTTGAAATTTTCACCAGCATTTATATTATCATTTTCTATAGACATGGTGCAATTTTCAAAATATTTTGTCTTAGTTTTGCTATTTATAGACATTTATAATTTTTATTAATTTTTTTAGTTTATTTTAGATTGGGGCCTAACCATGAATTGTTAAAAAAAAAACCCATAATAGTAACCCATTAAACATCTATGTACAGTGGAATGGTATCCATTTGCCTACCTTTTTTATAACTAAGGCTTGAAGATGTAAAATAATTTTCGAGTAAAATCAATTAAATTTGTATACACGTTTGTAGTTTAAATTTAATGACCTTGGATATTCAAAGAATGAATAATAATTATTTATCATTCATTTCATTTAATTAATAATCTTTACATCCATGTAACATTATGTTATACGATTTATTTTTTTTTTTTGCTTGACTATTAAGTTAAATGTCTGTTAACAATGCATTGGACTTCAGTCTACAAAAAAAATATTAATCAAACAAAAGTTTAAATGTGTCTAATGATTATCTAAGTAATTTGCTTTATTTTTAAATTGTATCATTGTTATTTTATTATGCTTAACATATTATCATAAAAGGAACTCCGGGTACAGAAGTCGTTAGAGACGTTAGAGTATTATCTGTTTACACGAATCATTTAACACATAGAATATTTATATTAATATGTTAAAATATAGATGATAAACTTAAACGATAAAAATTTTAAATTGAATAAAATTAAAATTATATTTCAGCAATGATTAAATACAATTGAATTTTTACATTCAAAAAATTACAAATTATTTTAACACAATAATATATCCTCGTTATATTGAAATATTTATTTATTATTTAAATGGTTAAATTAAACTTACAACATTAATTATACATAATAATAACAAAATTACTAATTCACATATTTAAATACACGATATATATTTTTTTATCATTACATAGGATTGCCTATTGACTGTAATGATTATAAAGGTGTATTTTAGTATTAACAATTCAATTACAATTTTTCTAAATTTGGCGGGCTTGTAAATTAAACATTTGGATATATCATTCTGATTTTTACTAAACATATAGGTAAATTAATTTTGGTCGACCTTTAGAGATAGTAAATGATGGTTCTTACTGATGGTGTCATAACAAGAGTTAGGATGTGTATGATCTTGAAAACGCTAGAAAAATGCATGCAAATAATATGCACTTAATAAAATTAAATATGCCGTTTTAAAATTGCAGCATTACCAATCAAGAATTTATTTTAAATTAATATACATTTTTTTTTTTTATGACTTTTAACTCAAATACAAGTATACGAAAATATGAAATTTTGAAATTTTAACGAATCATCAAAAATATACAGGTGATATTTACAGTAAATTAATATATAATTTTATTTTTACTTAAAAGATATAAATACACATACAAGATACATTGCAATATATAGATTTATTGTTAATGCTTTCCTTTGTTTTACTTTTGATATGATTCTGAAAACAATATGAATGTAAACTAAACTAATTAGAATTTAAATTTTAGTCATTTTTTACATACTTTCTGAATTGACTTGAACGTTAAAGGTTTTTTTGTTAAGGTTTATAAATACAAACTGCGTCGGTTGACGGATAACACATTTTTGTAAGCCAAAAAACTTCGTTCAATGTCTACAGACGTGATGGGTGCATATTTAAAATGTACACATTTATCTGCTGTTAGTTCAACTGTATTTTGAAGTTTCATTTCCATCAAGTATTTCAGTAATTTTTAATATTATTTTGATATGCAAATTTTTGCTCAAAACACACTTTATTTTATTTTTTTATGATATTTTCTTTGAAATGGCTTGATACATTTTCCAACGATTCTTCAACGTTCTGTATCATTTTAAGAAATCCAGTTAATAATAATCCGTTGGTTTCTAAACAAATTGTTTCTGTTGATAAAAAAACCAAAATTAGCTTTTATATAAATCAAGTTGGTTTTTAAGTTTGATTTTTCAAACAGTCGTCGATCGTTTGTCATGTGAATTGCATCTTCAGAATTTAATCGGAAAATAACTGACTGTATCGTAGTTTTTGCAATAATAGTTTTTGGCAAATTATGCGCTTTTTACGGTCTTTCTCTTCAAAACACGCAGTTATTCGTGAAAATCCTAAAACGTGCAAAAAAATGCAAAATAAAATTGAATGTATTTTGAATGTATTTGATTTGTGTCATACAAAACGAATTTATTAATGAGTCTGCAATGTGTACCGACTAAATGAAAAAATATGCAAAAGTCATAGACATCCCCTTACCAGCTAGTCATAAGTATCGGGCGGGCGTCACGCGAACAGATTCCACTACGGAACAGAGATAAGTACGAGTTAACCGGCCGCCGCCGCGCGAATCGATGGTGACGATCCGTAACATGGGCCCCTGGTAACACGATATCGATTTTAGGGCGTGACTTACGATCCCTTCAGATATTTCCAATAATCAGTGATGAGACGGAGTGAAGGGGGTATGCGAGTACGAGAGAGTGTCCCGGCTCGAGCGGTCTCGTCTCGTCTCGGACGGCACTAGACCACTCGGAGAAGGTTTTTATGAACGCGAGTCGAAGAACACGTCGTGGTACGACGCGAGGAGTGTAGGAGTGTAATCGTAAACTTTGAAATAGCGTAAGGCGCGAATAATAATTTTTCGGGAGGGCAAATATTTATTTCTTAGATACCTCGTATAACCGAACGGAGCAGCAAAAAACGTACAACGATTTTACAACGTTTTATTTATTTACTTATTTTGTGTACGTCCAAGCATAATTTTTAGAATAGAAAAAATCATTTCAGTTAATAAGTCGGTTACTCAACGGAGTACTTTACGTTACTTGAACTTCGGGCGGTCAAGAATAGAAAATTCGGGGTACTTTTAAAATTATTACGGGTTTGGAAAAAACGGGAATATTCAATAGGTGTCTACATCTTCGCATAAAATAAAACTTAAAAATAAATGCAATGTTCCTTATTAAGTTGTTATTAAAGTAAACTAAAAAAATCTAAAATATAGAAACACAATTTTTTCGTTCAAGAGCGTAAGAAGCTTAAACTGCATATTCAAACGTTAATTGCTGGTAACGTTAGTTTTGCTATTTCTTTGTAATTCAAAGAAACATTAATCGTAGAAACTCTCATCATTCCATTACTATAACGGCAAATGTACGTAAAGTTACGTCATAGGTACGCTTATCGT